TCCTCCCTTAACAGGTTGGAGATCATCCAGAACTCTGCATCCCGTGTCCTCTCCCGCATTAGGCTCTGGGACCCTATCACCCCCATCCTCACCCAACTCCACTGGCTTCCCATCACACAGAGGATACAGTTCAAGATCCTGGTCCTCACCTTCAAAGCCCTCCATGGTCTTGCTCCCCCCTACTTCTCCGACCTCCTAACCCCTACCGCCCTGTTCGCTCCCTCCGTTCAGCGGGCTCCGGCCTGCTTCGCGTCCCCCGCCTTGCTCGCCCCACTATCGGTGGGTGGGCCTTCCGAATCTGCCCCCACCCTCTGGAACTCCATCCCGCAGTCCCTCTGTCTCGCCCCCTCCCTCACCACCTTCAAGACCCACCCACCTCAAGACCCTTCTCTTGACCGTGATTTCGATCTCCCTTCTTCACCCCCTGCCCTTCCCCCTCCCCCACCCCAACCCTCAGCTCGGGTCCATAACTCTGTCTGTCCAGCGCCTTGGGACGTCCTCCCGGCGTGAAAAGCGCTATACAAATGTAATTTTGTTGTTGTTGTATTTTATGCCGGTTGGCATCTCAGAGCGCTTAATATTACAGTAATAGCTTTCAAAAGACTTTCAGGAGTTATATTTACATTAAAGTGTGCACACAATTCACATAAACACTGTATTCATTTTTAATTAGATCACCCTTTTTTGAGGTACCAGGTGTCTTTTCAGGCAGCTTGCTTTTTACACATTCAAACATAATCTCTGAAAATTAATATACACTGGTAGTATATTATAATTAATGTATCAATACTTTATCATAGTCTCCAGCCATGCACCCACCTTATTGGAACATGGATGTGACATGGGGAACAGAGAATTATACCAAAAATAAATATCAAGAGATTAAGTGATTAATTATCAGTTAGGAATAAAACACACAAGAGCATATATACTATGCACTCGGAGACTTATGTCTTAGAATAACTTAGAGTTGAGTAAAAGCTTAGCTGTGGAAACTCAAACTTGTATAATTGTCACTTTTTGTTTTTAATAAAGAGCTTGATGTGGAATTAAATTTTTATAGCAAATAGAAAGCCTCAGATCTTATGTCATATTGATATACTGTAACTGAGCTCTTTAGAAACTCTTTAAACGAAACTCAAGTCAAATCCAGTGGAAGTTCTGATTTCCTATGTTCTAAATGTTTCTTTTGGATCTTGAGACATTGGGGGTAGAAATTCCAATAGATAAATCGTACTGCAGTAAAGAGATCTGGACAGCGTAGAAGTTATTTTTGCACCAAAGCAATAAGTGTAATTTTCCTCTTTTTCAGTATTATTTTCTGGTAGCATCAAAATCAGACAGTGGGACTATAGAAAATCAGAAGCCATTTTCAAAACAATTGTTACCTGAAATGTCGTCGGTACATGATGATGATTTCAATGGGAAGTGGAACTGCAAACGGCGAGAGCTTCTCTCAGTGTATAAGAGGACTAAACCTGACCTCCTCAGAAGGTGCTGACAGAGATCCAGCACAGTCACTGGCAGCATTGCTCAGTGTAGGGAAGGAAGGACTGGCTTCAGGGTTACTGATTGGATCAATGTTGTCGGAGGCATCCAACAGTCCTCCTTGCAGGTGAGAAAACTTTCAAGGTGTTCAATGCGTGTGAAGTTTTAAGACAACCTGATGCTTTATATGCCACTGGAGACCAAAAAGCAATCATAAAACTACACCTCAACAAGAGGAAGCTAGACAGGAACAGAGAGGCAAAAAGTAAAGTACTGCAGATGCTGAAAATCTGGTGTAAACACAGAAGTCGCTGTGAACACGCAGCAGGTCAGGCAGCATCCATTGAGAGAAGAAAATGAGTTATTTCAGGTTAATTACCTTTCTGATTTCTATGTTTATATCAGGAACAGAGCCGAATATGCCAGTGGGGAGGGTAAAAAAGGATCCATCCAGAATTTCAATTGCCCAAGGTGATTTGATATAACTTATCACAAGGCCATAAGCTATCTGGCTACCAAACCTAGTCTGTCATTAACCCTTTGCACTCACAAATGTTATATTTGTGACAGCTAGTTATACATTTGCAGCTTTATTACTGTAATATCATTTATTGACCCTCAGTATGAAAGCTGTAAAGTTTTAAAAGAAAGTCTGGCAGAAGTCCTGGAATCCAGTGAGATTGACAGCACTCCTAAAAGTTGATTATAATAATAATCCTTGCATTTGATATAGCACTTTCCACATCTTCTCGATGTCTCAAAGTGCTTCACAGAATAGACTGTAAAGTGACTTGACTGTATACTTGTGGGCGAAACCGGCAGCCAATTGCGCACAGCAGTGTCCCACAAACAGTCGTGGATTGAAAATGACCAATTTATTATTGTTTTTTTTGGGGAGGGATTATTATTAGGCGTGTGGAGTAAGTGATTAACTGATTAATAACATGACTGGAAAATAAAACTGGCATCCAGCAAGATTTGAGATCAGATCAGTCAACAATAATGATTGCTATTAAATGTTATGGTCATACATTCTGGTTACGAATCGGGTTAAAGATTACAGGGATCAGTCTAGTAATGGAAATCAATTGTTTATGAATGAAAATGTATTATTAAGTCAAAAGTCCTGGTGAGTGGAAGGTAGCTACATGGAAAAGTGAACTGACATAACATCCTTTCACCAATGAGCAGGATACGAATACAGCCTACAAACACTGTCTACACACACTGCAAGAAACGTTCTTCACTCCGAGAAACACCATGATGAGAACCTTTTACTGACAAAATCAATTCTTAGTGAGTTACCTTTGCAAGGAATTGACAGATTTATGATGGAGATAAATTAAATAGAATAGCTGTAACTCTATGGAAGGAGGGTAGAAAGACACTTTGCCACATGGATAATAACAATGTTGTTCATTTGAATGTCAAGCAGAAGTAGATTAGATTAGAAGTAGGTCTACTGAGAAAAACATCTACTTATTATATGTAAGAATTTGGATTAAAAAGTAATCACATAAGTTAAGAGAGATCTGTATCTAACCAACATACATTTACACAAACAAAGCATTTACAATAAAAATGCCATCTGGTAACTAAAAGTACTGTATACTGAAGTGGATATACATGTGATGGGTCAAAGCCTTTGAGTAATTACCAAAGGTTCTCTTAAATCTAAGGACATCAACAATACTTTTATTTCTTCAAGGTACATAAAATCTATAAAATTATTTTATTGTTGAAGAAAAGCTGGTACCAAAATTTCCTAATCATTTATGAAGCAAATGTGTATGAATTAATAATTGACATTGTTAGCATCATGAAGGAGAGTTTCCGTAATTTAGATCTTTACTAAATATACAATACAAATAAAATACAAATTTACATTTATATAGCGCCTTTCACATTACTGCTGGGTGAACAGAGGCATGTGGAGTAAGGAAACTTGCCTAAGGTTTCGCACTGACCGGGAATGAATGAAAATCAAACCGGGATCATCTCGCTTGCAAGGCAAATACTCTAACCAATATGCTATAGAATTAAAGGTTAGGATGAGGATTTTAAATGGGATGTTATGGTATGTTATCAAAAATAAAGTTAGGATATTTAAAGTATACTTAAAATAATATTTTAAATAAATTTAAAATAAACAACAACAACAACAAGATTCCATTTATAGAGCGCCTTTCACGTCGGGAGGACGTCCCAAGGCACTGTACAGTTGGGTCAGGATCCGAGCAGGGGGGAAATGGTCAGGGTGAGGGGAGGGAAGGGAGGGAACGAGGAAGGGGGTAGAGAGTCGAGAGGGGAGCTGAAGGCTCGGTCAAAGAGAAAGGTCTTGAGACCGGCCTTGAAGGAGGAAAGGGAGGAGGCGGCAAAGGCACTGGGGGATAGAGTTCCAGAGCCTCGGGGCTGAGAGGCTGAAGGCCCGGCCACCGATGGTAGGGCGGTTGGGGCGGGGGATGTGGAGCAGACCGGAGCCGGAGGAACGGAGGGTACGGGCAGGTAGGTAGGGGGATAGTAGGTCGGAGAGGTAGGAGGGAGCGAGGCCGTGAATGGCCTTGTAGGTGAGGATGAGGATCTTGAAATCGATCCTCTGGGGGATGGGGAGCCAGTGGAGGTGAGCGAGGGTGGGAGTGATGTGGTCCCGAAGCCTGGTGCGGGACAGTACACGAGCTGCAGAGTTCTGAATGACCTGCAGCTTGTGGAGGGAGGTGCCGGGAAGGCCGGCGAGGAGAGAGTTCCCATAGTCCAGCCTTGAGGTGATAAAGGCGTGGATCAGAGTTTCAGCAGCGTGAGGGGTGAGGTAGTGCCGTAGTGCCGTAGTCTGGCGATATTCCGGAGGTGATGGAAGGCGGTGCCAGTTGTGGCGCGGATATGAGGGAGAAAGGACAGCTCAGGGTCGAACAGAGCCCCGAGGTTCCTGACTGACTTTGAGAGGTGGAGAGTGCAGCCTCGGATGCTGATGGTGTCGGCGCCTGAGGTGCGGAGGCGCTGATGTGAGCCAATCAGGAGGGCCTCAGTTTTGCGCACGTTGAGCTGGAGAAAGTTATCTCTCGTCCAGGACTCGATGTCGGACAGGCAGCTGTCAGGACATCGGTGGTCGTGGAGTTGAGGGTAGAGGAGGAAAGGTAGAGTTGGGTGTTATCCGCATACATGTGGAAGTTAACCCCATGTCTGCGGATGATATCACCACAGGGGGAGCATGTGAGGGTGAAGAGGAAGGGACCGAGGGCAGAGCCCTGAGGGACACCGCACGAGACAGTGCGGGGGCTGGAGGAAAAACCATTCGTGGAAACAAAGTGAAGACGGTGGGAGAGGTACGACCTAAACCACTCAAGGACAGGGCCTTGAAGGTTGAGGTGGGAGGACAAGCGGGGGAGGAGGATAGCATGGTCTTGTCAATTGGAGACTAGATGTGGGGCTTTTTTTGTTCTCAGAAATTTACCAACCATGACATTTAAAATGGGTTTTAAGTGCATTTTACGTCCATAAATCTCACTCCAAGAAAATAATTTATAAAATATGTTTATTGGAACATCATTGTTGAAAGAAAAGTTTGCAACCTTTTTTGCAAAACCCTTTTTGCATTTAAATGTAAACATCTGCAGTTACATCTCAACTATTTAAATCCAGTTGCAGAGTAGAATGTTTGTGCTTGGCAACTTCAACTGTAAGCCCTCGAAAATGAATGTACACTGTAGGACAGATATCTAACTGCAGAGACATTCAGCCAACATGATAAATTAAAAAATGAGGCAGGGTTTCCAGGAATACGAATAAGTACAAATATTTTTATCAAAAGGCGACAAAATTACAGAGCCCAAACATTAAAATATTTTTTATAGGTCCGTAAAGTTCTTTAGATTATAAAAATGTTATGTTGATGAATCACTCTCTTAGAAATATAATTGCACTTGTATGGTAACTTATCACATTGCAATGTCTCAAAGTGCTTTATAGGAATTACTATCAAATGTAATGACTGATGTTTTTAAAACTGTTTGTGTCTGAATGGTCCCACTAAGTGCCACGTGGTGAATTTACCAATACATCTGGAGAAAATGCAATTCTCTTTAAAAATAATGACATAGGAACAAGAGATCATTCATCCCATTGATACTATACCACAATAACAATATGTCTATAAACCCATTTTCCAGCACCCCATTATACCCTTACTTCCCTGGTACCTATCTAACACCATTTCAAACATCCCAATGAATTCTCTCTCTATGGCCTCTGGAGGAGTGCATTTCACATTTGCACACTTCCTCAGTGTGAAGAATGTTTTCTGATACAACTTCAGCTGCGTTTAAGATTATGTCGCCTTGTTTTGAATTCCTCAACCAAAAAGCAGAGTTGACTACCATCTAGTTTGTCAAATTCTTTCATTATTTTAAACACCTCAATCAGATCCCTTAACATCCTCAGCTCTAAGGAGTATAACCCAAGTCTACCCAGGCTCTCACTTCAGCTAAGCCTCTTTATCCCAGGTATTAATCCAGTAATTAGTTCCTGGGAACCCTCCAGGGGTATACTAATAAGATTATTTGATATATCATCCATGTATTTGGAAGGCAAAAGCTGGTAGATAGACTAAGAATAGTGATATCTTCCTATGATTCGGTACCCAAAACTGCCCAATACTCCAAATGAGGTCTGACCAGCACTCTATATAACTGGAGTAGCACTGCCCTCTGCTCCAATCTCTTCTTCAGAACCATATCCCAGACACTACTGCGCAGTGTCACACTGGGCAGGCTATTATAAAGCAAGATATGACACAGACCTTATTGAATGCTTTCTGCACCTGAACACGACCATACATTTGATGCTGATTCAATACTGAAACTGCACAAGTCCAATGTAAACTACGGCATAACTTGAGCATCAGTAAACATAAACAGAACCAAGCAATCTGCCAATTGTGTTTGAAAACTGGACCCTTAATGTCCAATAAATATGGAAGTTTTTTTGTTTTTAAATTAAAAAGTAGTGAATTAATAAAAATAAAGGTCTCGTAACTTTAAAATGAAGTTGTTGCCACTATATTTTTCAACTAAATTTTCTTTGAAATTATGCAATACTTCTATATACCCGAAGCACCATGGAAGATCATACTGATCATAGTAAGCACACTGGAGCACTTCTGGTAGCTAGTGAGAACTAGTTGATAATATATATATTTATATATATAAGCGCTCTGAGACGCTACCCTACGTGGAGGGTACTATATAAGTGCAAGTTGTTGTTCTTTATAAACCTCTGAATTTCAGTGTTTCTTTTGAAAGAACCATTTCTGGTCTGGGATATCTGAGCAAGGTCGCAGTACTGGTGCTGGATGACCATCAGTCTTCACATGGGATACAGCTTGCACACATTTCTGTGTCTGGACGTGGTGTATCGAGCCATCCTGTGAAGAAAAACACGAGAATAAAGTACAAACAAAATATCAAAAAATTAGAGACTGGTTAAAAAGCAGCTTCAAAAAGAATGTAGTTGCAATGAGCTTTTAAACCCTGTGGCAAATCTAGCATGATAATGTTCAGATTTCTGATAGCTACACCATGAAGCAACCAGGCCAGGTTGCTGATTTCAATGTTGACATACTCCAGTTGGCATATAACTGCAGCAGCAGTTTTAGATTCCAGACCCATTGTTATAGGCCTAGTGTTCCTTATTAATTACTTTCTGCACTTACAAATGAGAATTTAACAATGCACTGACCTCTAATGCCTTTGCTCATCAACCTCTCCTAGTGCTTCCCATTTCAGAACATATACCATCAGCCATTCTTGTATCCAAAGTGCACTAAGTCACATGCTCTCCACCCCAATTCCTTCCACTCACCCAATCTGCCTGTATGCCATACATTGATTCCACTAATGAAAGATGGTTGCAGGAGAAATGTTGGACTCTGCACTGGTCAAAAACACAAACTCGCCGCACATGTCCAGTTTGGAGAAGCTGAACAAGGCAGTGAGAAGAAAATTATAGATAATTTAAGAAACATCTACTTTTAGGATGAGTCTTACCTCTTTAAAAATGAATTTCTGATTCTCAGGCACAGGCTGATTATCCTTTCGGCAGAGGTACATTGTTAGGAAATCGGTGCCGACATCCACTGCAGCACAGGCCTCAGGCTGGCGAGTATTATAACGGATTTCATTTTGTGAAGAGAATTCAAAGAACTGTAAAGCAGGAAAATGTGTGCAGTGTTCATTATAGAAATTCATAAAAAGACAAACAGAACATAACACCATCCATAAATTGACATTTATATAATGGCTTTCACATCAGGAGGACGTCCCAAGGCCCATTGAGCCCAAGGCAGTATTGAGGGCAAATCTGTACTTTCTTCCCTGCCCAAGAACATTCTCCAAAAAGGACAATCAAAATCTACCCAGATCGTTTTCTCCCAACATGGACTAATTGAGCCAAATGGCCTGTTTCCGTGGATTATAATTCTGTCTAACTTTCATAACTAGATCGTAGCTTTTTGAAGTTATTTGAATATTACAACAAAAACTTGCATTTATATAGTGCTCTTCAATCGGGGTAGCATCCCAAAGCACATGAACCATATTAAAGCATATTAAATTGAAGCATAGATATTTACACCAAAGAGGTAGTTCAGCCCATGTTCTGGTTCTAGCCTTTTCTTCATACTCTTTTATATTTCTCCTTTTTAGATGCTTATCTAATTCTCACAAGTTTAGAACATTAGTCTCAGGCTGATCTTTGGCCTGAGGAGAGCTGGAAAGTAATGGTGAAGGACAGTACGTTTAATAATGCAATACTCCCGTAGCACTGATTGGACGATGTAAGTTCAAGGTATCAACCTTCTGACTTGGAGATGGAAGTACTACCAACTGAATGAAGCTGACAGAAAGTACATTAGTATACACATACCTATTCAAGCCAAACCAGCAGAGATCTGGGTAAAGGCAGAAGGTGAATGGCACAGGCTCACAAGGAAAATAATAAATTGCTTTCATAAAACTAAATTATGGAAAGTACATTTTAAATGTCTCTTCTAGGGCTACAATACATTTATTTTCACTGGGACAACTGAGTTTGGCAAAAAGGTTTGAGCATTTCCTTCATCCAGCTTTATGGATTACACAGCTATATCCATATATCCATATAGATATGTAATCTGTCTCAGATTATAGTTAGACTCTGTGCCCTCAAAAATACTGGATTTAAAACATGAGGTGATTATTCAATGGCAAAGTACAATTCATTCTCCGGGTTCCCCACACTGAGTTCTTCATCTCAGGCCTGATGCACCACATCTAGGTTAGCTGTTTGTTTCTACCATCTCATATATCAGTGGTGGCCAAACACTGGCACAAGGCAGCAGCCATGCCCACAGTAGTGGCACACAACACATTTCAAAAATAACTCCAATAACAACAATTACTGGATCCAAAGTGGAAGTGATGTCATTGCCGTCCCCTTACGCCAACCACCAACAAGACTATAATGAAGGTCCTGCCTGTGCTAAAATAAATTTACCTAACAGAATCATCAAATTCCCAGGAGGATATTGGCAGAATAAACATCTCACCTGATTTTGGCCCATACCATGACATTTAAACAAAATGACTTTATTTCCAGTCACATTTCGTTTACTTTGTGGCTTGTAATCAAAACAGTAGTTCTCCATCCCCCTGCTCTTCATCTGAAAAAGGGAAAGAAACTGATAATGGATAATAACAACAATCCTTGCATTTGATACAGCATTTAAAATGTCAAAATGTCTCAAAGTGTTTCCAGGGCATTGTTGTCAAGTGTAGTGACTATGTTGTAAAAAGCAGCAGCCAATTTGCACACAGCAGGGCCCCTTACTTCACAATGAAACATGACATTTTAGCCAACATCCTGAAAAGATAATTTCCAGCCATCAGTCTGAATCGTATTTAGAGAAACTTGCACATCCTGTAACTAAGATGAAAATGCTGTCAATCCCAATAAATTGCCAGAATCACATAAAATGAACAGAAAATAAATGGGGCAGGGATTATTATAGAAGTGTAGAAATTTACAGCACAGAAGGCCATTCAGGCTGTGCCGACTCCCTCAAGAGCAATTCTTTCGGTTCTGCTTACCTGCCCCTTCCCCTCGAGCCAACCCTTTTTAAGGTACTTTCTGAAGGCCGAGATTAATTTTGTCTCAACTACCCCATTTTAGATCATAACTATTCTGTCCATGAAATTATTTCTCCTCACCTCCCCATTTTTCTCCATTATCTGATGGGCTGAAGATTTTATTTAGGAATGAACAGTTAATGTGATGCCTGCAAAAACAGAATTGAACAGTGACACTTAAATAACCCCATCCAAACCTGACAAAATGGAGAGGCTAAAGGTTCTAAATCAGTTGTTCTATTTCTTGGTCATGTTTTTGGTTCAAGTCCGCTATTCACATGTAAAATCCCTTCACTGTACAGGGCCTTGGCATGTCCTCCCGACATGAAAGGTGCTAAATAAATGCAATTTGGTGGTGGTGTAAAATAATTTATAAACTGCTTCAACAACATGACACAACATTCTACATTCCAACTCCCTCTGTGTAAAGAAATGTTTTCTAACTTCCTATTTCATTATTTTTATACTTGTGTCCTCTTGTTAGTGACAAGAAATATACATTACCCAGTGGAAATATATATTACGATTTACCCCTCATAACCCTTTATAATCTCAACCACTATTAGGTCACCACTTAACAACTTACACTTGTCTAGCGCCCTTCACATCGGAAGGACATCCCAAGGCGCTAACCATTTTTATTCCAATGAAAACAGCTAAACCCCACTCGTCTCTCAAAATAACTGAAACCCATCATTCCTGGGACTCCTAACCATAGTTGTTCTAGATTTCACTCTTTATTTCTGTATGTCATTCATCTTAACTGAACCTCAAAAGGAAAGCAGCCTATCCTCCCGAGAATTCGATGTTTCTGTTAGTTGAATTTATTTCAACACAAAACAGGACCTTCATTATAGTCCTGTATCTATACAGGATGGGATAATGAGGCACTGTTAGATATGTATTTACCATTCCAAAGAATCCTGGTCGATCCTCAGGCACATGGATATCTGGGTAAACATTCTCTAAGAACCACTTGAAGCTTTTACACCGCAGCTTCTCTCGTAATTTCTTTCGATCTGTCACGTCGCCATAAGGTACCTATAAGCAGCCAGTATTGAAAGGTAAAAAGTAAATAAAAGAAACATTCCAAAGGGAAAATAATAATCCTTTTCATTTAATACAACTGCTTCTCACATTGTTGAAACATCTCAATGTGCTTTACAGCAATTACTCTAAGTATAGCGACAATGTATTTTATAGGCAAATGTAGCAGCTATTTTGTGCCTATTTGACTTATAGACAATAGAGATAGATTCTCCAACATGTTCTGTGAGGAGAGCTGGAGTAATTCTATCTATATAGTGTCTATATAGGTGTCAGATCAGCAATGAGATTTAACGTTCCCCCTCACCACCACCCCACCCCCACCATCTCATTGCAGCAAATAGATCACAGTACTAGTAGAAGTCTGTTTCTACTTCGACTATATTATTGAATATTATCCTGTAACTTGATCTTTGAAGATTTTCAAAATAAATACCCAGGGATACTGTTACAATAATATAATTATAATCCTTGGATTTGATATGATGCCTTCGGAATGTCTTAAGTGATTCAAAGGATTAAGTATATTTGTGGGCAAATTCAGCAGTCGATTTGCACAATGTCCCACAAACAGCTATGGAGTACTCTATATGACTAATTTTATCTGGAGGATTGTTGGCTACAATCTAGAGACAAAACTGAAGGTTGGAGAAGGGGAATATCTGAAGGACAGCGTCTCAGAAAATGCAGCACAGCAGTGTAGTGTCAGTGTACATGAGTTCTGACCTGGGGTCACAATTTTGTGAATGACCGGCTATTCATACTGAGATACAGTACTATGCTATGTGCCAGATGTTGCAGAATGACTACCCACCAATCGAGCACGTGGATTCCTGTTAAAGTACAGTTCCTTATATTCATCCATCCAAACCATTACAGCACGAACGCGGTTAGCTGGGGCTTTGCTCCTGGAATAAGGAGCTTGTTTGGGAAAGACGTGGCCTACATGAGAACATGGAAGTACCTCCAAGATTCCCCCACACTGCCAAATCTGAAAGAAAATGTCTTGCATGAAGAACATGTACAAGTCAGACAGTCTACAATCAATGAATCAATACACTTACATCTAGAACAGAACAGTGAGTCCGGAGAAGATCAGAGGTTGGGAAGTGCGGGAACATAAAGAGATTTGTTATTTGAGGATCTTGAAGTCGATCTGCTGGGAGAGAGGAAGACTGGCATCTAGCAAGGCGGGTCGGATGCACATGTGTGAGTAAAGATGCAGGCATCAAATGTTTAGAATGAGATTGGGCTTTGTGGATAGTCGAGCTGGGGAAGTCAGTAAAAAGGTTCAATTTACGAGTTAGAGTTACTCAGGGTGGCATTGAACTACTGGAATAACTCCTGGAATACACCATCAACAACAAAAGCAACTGCTTGCATTTAAATAGTGCCCTTCACATGGTATAATATGTCTGAGTCCCTCACGGGGATGGAGTTCAACATCAAATAAGGGGGAGGGGTAGGAGAGAGTGGTGGCCATGACCACATACAAAGAGGTTAAATTTGAGGAGGGACAAAGAAAGAAGAAGGGCAAGACGGAGAGATACAGGGAGGGAGTTCCGAGGTTAGGCGCATAGGTGCTGAAGGCTCAGCACAATGGTGGCACAGAATGGGATGGGGGTGAGCAGCGAACCTGAATTAACTGAGTGGAGAAGATAGACAGCGGAGGAGGGTAGGAGGAGATCAGAGAGTTAAGTGGGTTCAAGTGCAGAGAAAGTATGGAAGGACTACTCCAGCAAATACCCATTTATAGTTAGTAATTCTTGAAGCTTTCTGGATTTCTGGAATCGGCATGGAATACATATGTATGAACAACAATAACTTGCATTGACATAGCGCCCTCATGCAGGGTAGTATCCCAGAGCGCTTTATCGCTATATCAGTATACACCCTCAATAAACCAGACAATTTAAAAGGTTCTGTGTACTGGAGTTTGGAGTTTCTTGAACTAGATACATTCACAAAATCCAACCAACATCATTATCATATTGTACACTCACTATTTAAACCTACACTCTAATACTAACCAGTTTTTACTATTTTTCACCTGAAACCTATAGGTAATCGCACCTTAATGTTGATGATGGTTTGCAATGAAATGAAATCCTCAATGAAAGTTATTTATATAAAAAAATGGAACTGAAGTGAGAATAGTTGGCTCATGGTATCAGCAAATCCAGTTACTCTGATGTTACTTTCTTTTGTTGGCTGGTCACAAGGTGAGGTATTTCAATTACATTTTTAATAGGAAATTTGTCTGTAGCGGCAATTTTTTAAAACTAAAACACAAGTCTCCAAATTTAATTTTGTTATGAACTGGTAATTAAAAAAAAATTCTAAAAGAAGACTCCTCAGGATCTAATCTAAAAGTTACATAGGTAAAGCTCGAGTGATAATCAGTTCAGACAAACAGTTGAACTATGGGGTTTTTCCTAGAAATGAAATGTATTTTTTTACTACACAATTCTCATCCAAAGAATCAATTTAAAGCCATCCAGTCCCTTAAAATCTCCACCCAGCTCTAAAGATTATCCTAAAATATATAATTCTGTGATCCTGCCTCTCAAGAATGAGATGAATACTTACCCTGAAGGAGAATTCTAGGTTCTCGCCTCCCCACACCTCCATTCCAGTGTCATATGTCCCCAGATATTCAAAGTACTTTTTGCTGACAGCAAACAACCCTCCGGCCATGGTGGGTGACCTGTTGAAACATACTGCTTCAGCTTCCTGTCCAATATATGTCAGCCTGGTTTACTTGACAGCATCTCATCTCTGAGTCTGAAGGTTGTGGGTTCAAACCCCACATCAGGCCTTGGAATTCATATAGTCTAAGATAACACTACTAAGCAGTTTTGGAGGTGTGCTGCATTAATTGAGGTGCTGTCCTTTGGAAGAGATTTGAAACTGAGATTTGAAACCTGCCTGTTCAGGTGGATGGTAAAGATCCCTTGGCGTTATTCAAAAAAGAAGGGAGTTTTCCCAGTGTTCTAGCCAACTGTTTCCCCAAAAAATTGGTCATTAATTTCACGGCTGTTTGTAGGATATTGTTGTGTGCAATTTGGCTACAGTGTTTGCCCGGGATATACACAGTCAACCCACTTTACAGTATATCCTATGAAGTGTTTGGTACACCCCCCAATGTGAAAGGCACTACACCATATACGAGGATTGTTATTATTAATATTTGTTTTAAATTAATTTGGATCTTCATTACATAAGCAAGATTCAGGAACTATCAATGTAACAAGAAATGTAAGTTTCACCAATACTTATATTTAAAGCTCCAATCTAGTGAATCTCGAGTCTGACTACTCCCAAATGGCTAACTCTTGTTTGTTTGTTTTTTTGTTTTAGCGCTTTATGAGAAAATACTTGAACCAGCATCTCTATCCTTCAATATTAATCTCATTAGTTGGATTCTACTTACCTGCCAAGGATCTTCACTCTCAAATATATTTTATGAAAATGTAATATAAACATTATTAATGACTAGATGTAAAATTATGTGCAGCATTAAATTATTGTCCTTATGATAAATAAACACTGAATTTGTATTATTCACAGCACTTGTAAAATAATTACTGGAACTAGCAATGAAATTGACAGTTGAAAACAATTTATTTAAGTCTAATTACACAAGAATTTGTTTTCAATAAAAAGATTCTGAAAAGAAAAAAGAAATAAATGATCTATTTTATATAATTCAATAGACATTGAAACATTTTCACCAGCTCTTCGCAATTTGACTTTGAGGTCCAAAATCCCTCATGGTTTTAACAGTATTACCTTTACATTTAAACCAGTGCAAATTTTGGAAAATTATTAGATGTTAGTCTTAAGTCAGTTTTCTGCTATTGAAAACAAGTGAATGAATATATTGGAAATGGTTACATGCCACACATCTGCTAAAGTGCCTAAGAGCTGCCAATGGCAATAGAGATTGACGGTGGTGGTAAGTAAGCATCACAGCAACTGGAATGGATGGTAGCAGATGTGGAATGGGGCTGCAGCATTGATTGTAAATTGTAACCATCTCCGAAGTGAGCCTCAATCTCTGGCAGTCCTCCAGAACTGTCAACTCAACTGTGGTTCACCCAGTGAGAGGGATATCTTGTCGTCTCGACATTATTAACACACACCTGATAATAATCCCTTAAGAAAAAAAAATTGGTACTTCAATCCATGACTGTTTGTGGGACGCTGCTGTGCGCAATTGGCTGCCGCATTTCACCCACAAATATACAGTCAATTCACTTTACAGAATATTCTGTGAAGCGCTTTGAGACGTCTAGAAGATGTGAAAAGTGATATATCAAATGCAAGGATTATTATTATTGTTATTATTATGTCTACAGCGTGTTCATACTCTCATTCCGTAACAACATTACCTTTCTAACAGATATCCAACAATATGTATAATCCATATGGTTGGAGAATTACATTATACCTGGGTTTGTGGGGTAGGGTGAGGAAAAGCAGAGAGGTGGGAGGCAAGGATTTCGAGTGTGGTGGAGAGTGTGCTGTGGAGGAGAGTAAACGCAGAGGATGGGATGGGTTGGTGCGGGAGGTTAGCCAGAGGGGGAGGAGTTCAGAGTACTCCAGAGCAACGGAGAGGGATTGCGGGCAGATCTTCTTCCATGGGCGGTAGACGATAGTGGTAGGTTTGGAGGCAGTGGGGAGAGGGATATAGGAGTTGGTGGTCAGAGATGGCCTTGTCGGTGATGGTGACATCCGAGACGTTCAAGCCCCAGGTGATAACTAGGTCGAGCGGGTGACCATGGGTGTGGGTAGCAGAGTGGATGTGGAGGGAGAGGTTGAGAGAGGAGAGGAGAGGAGAGAGGAAAAATCTGAGGAGATGGAGCAAGAGGGGGTGAAGTGGAGGTTGAAGTCGCCTAGGAGATGAGGCGGTTGAAGCAGAGGCAGAGGAAAGCAAGGAAGGGGGAGATGTCAGAGATGAAGGTGGGAGAGGATTTGGGGGGGGCGGTAAATTAGGAGAATGTTTAGTGAGAGGTGGGAGGGATGGCAGAGGGTAAGGTGTTCAAAAGAGAGGAATGAGTCAGTGGAGTAGGGGGATAGGGCAAGTGATGCCCTGAAGATGAGGGCCACACCACCGCCACGACGGTTGTGGCGTGGGGATTGGTGGTAGGTATAACCGGGTGATGTGGCCTCAGTGAGGGGAAAGGTGTCACCTGAGGTGATCCAGCTTTCTGTGAGGGCCATAAAATCAATGTTCTCATCGAGGATGAGATCATTGACAGCCAGGTCTCATTGCAGATGGAGCGGACGTTTTGAAAGCCAATGCAGAGTGGATAGTTGGCAGGGGGATGTGTGAGATGGGAGAGGGTAGTGGATTGGGCAGGGAGGTTGGGAATGTGGATGAGGGAGGAGAGGTTAGTCCCCAGGGTCTGGGTCCGGGGTGGTTTGCGGCTGTAGTGGGGAATGGGGCAGTCGGTGTGGCTGCTGCTGGAGAGCCAGTGCCGAGTGCCACAATGAGCCCAGCGGAGGATTCCCAGCCTGGAGCAGAGGGAGGCAATGGGGGGATCAAGCAGAGATAGGAGGCGGGGAGGGCGGAGAGAGAGCAGGACAGAGCGGGAGAGTTGTAGGGAGGGGGGCATTTTGAGGGAGGGCCAGCTCAGGTCGGGGACGGCAGCCAAGATGCACATGCTGGGACGAGAGGTGGTGGATTAGTGGAACATTGTCAGCCTGCAGGAGGCTGTGGGAGCTAGAGGTGGCGCAGAGGAGGGTTAGCAATGAGCAGCCTGCAGGGGGAGGACAGGGGAGGGAGACAGACAGGATGAACCGCGACTGAAGGCGTGGATGAGGAGGAGGGTTTTGAGACGGGCCTTGAAGGAGGCAGAAGATTACGACAAAACTCTAGAGAGTGTCAACTTGTTTGGTCTAGAACAGGTCATTGTATATGCTGTGCAATATTCATTATTCATGATGGAATCTAGGCTCAGCTGTAAATAATGTGTATGAATGCTGATGCCAGCTTCGACTCTCATTAGACTTTTAGATTGTACCATGCCACCCAGCCTTTCAATTACTGAACCATTTTAACAGCAGTGCACATTGACCAGAAAGAACATTTAATAGAATCAATAATGACTTTAGCAACTGACAGTGCACACAGCAGGCGGAAACTGAAATCAATTATCCTGGCCACACATTCAGGAGTAACTTTTAACCCACATTCACACGGAGGGTAAGAGGGCCACCTTTCATTGGCTCAGCAAAGCAACTTATTTCGTTATGAATTTGTCCAAACTGCAGTTATCTCTAGAGAGTGTTAAAAAACGTTTTTACTCAAATGAAACACCTTGTGTAAACTTGATTTTTCACCTCTGATTTCACTTACAACCCATTTTACAGTATTTAGTGTAATGCAAAGATATTGTGTGGCTTAAACTGTGCAATACAGAGGTATACTTGCAAATTATGAATTGACTGTCATAACCCAATACAGCACATGTATTGGATTATGTCAGGCAGTTTATAATTTGCACTGACAGGACCCTTTTCTGTTGCACAGGAATTGAAGATGTGTGATATAATGGTACAAATTTAAAAAATTGGAAGTACAACAAATGCAGATAAAAATTGTGTACATGGCAAGAGAAACATAGGTGGGAGGGAGTTACACCCCTGAACTCACATACAAATAAATTGCTCAAGTTCTACCCTTAAAGATTGCCCTATTGTATTACTGCCTTGTAGGGTTTTTCAACCCATTACTAAATACAGGGTGACCAAAAAGTTGTGATACCATTATCACATACTGGACACTGGAGCGCAAATGGCAGAAATCCGGCCTCACGATTCACCGTCATCTGTGACTCAAGCACCTCCGCACCTACCGCCTCTCCCTTTCACAGGCCAACCCAACTTTTACTCCAAAGTCATCCTGAAGGCTAAAAACAACCCAACGACACTCTCTTCCACCATCCATCACCTCCTCCATGCACCTTCTAAAGCCTCCTCTATCCTCACACGTGGCTTCTTTGCCACAAAGATTGAAAACATCCGCTTGGCTGCATTGCCCTCCCGCTCCATGTCTCCTTCCATCCCCCCAGACCATCCACACCACCTTCTCCCTCCATCACAGCTCCTGACATTCCCTCCTCCTTACACTCCTTTGCCCCCATTTCTCCCTCCTCCCTCTCAACCACAATCGCCCACATGAAATTCACCACCTGCTGCCTCGACCCCCTCCCCACCCAGCTGCTGGTCACTCAACTCTCCCATCTCTCCCCCCTGTGAGCTGTCACGATCAACGAGTCTCTCTCTTCAGGCCCTCTTCCACTTCCCATGAAAACCACTGCTATCACACCCCTCCTCAAAAANCCCACCCTCGATCCCTCTAATTTCTCACAGTACCGTCCCATTTCCAACCTACCCTTCCTTGCTAAAGTCCTGGAACACATTGTTGCAGGTCAACTTCGGTCACACCTCTCCCTCCTCAAGCCCCTGCAGTCTGGTTTTCGCCCTGCCCGCAGCACAGAGACAGTGCTTGTCAAAGCTCCCTCTGCCTCCTCGTCCTTCTGGATCTCTCTGCTGCATTCAACACAGTCGACCACACCATCCTTCTCCACCGCCTCTCCTCCTTCATCCACCGTAGTGGGACCGCACTCGCATGGTTCGAGTCCTACATAACCAACTGCATCAACTTCATCTCGACAAATGGTTTCTCTTCCCGCCCCCACCCGGTCCTTAGCCCTCTTCGTTTCCTAATCTATACTCTCCCTCTTAGTGATGTCATCCGCAGAAATGGGGTAAACTTCCACATGTATGCAGATTACACACAAAGCTACTCTGCCTCCTCCAGTATCGACTCCAGGTCCACTGATGTTCTATCAGCTTGTCTCACAGACATCAGGACCTGGATGAGTGAAAACTTCCTGCAGCTGAACATGGACAAGACAGAAGCCATACTCCTTGGCTCCTGTCAACGTCTTCACACCTGCAGATCTGAACTCCTCAACCTCCTTGGGCTCTCCCTCAGACTCACCAAACCAGTGCGCAATCCAGGCATCCGATTTGAGCCCCAGCTGTCCTTCCTCCCACACATCCAGTCACTGACCAGCACCGCCTTCTTCCACTTCCGCCACATTGCCCACCTCTGACTGTACCTTACCCCAAATACTGCCAAAACCCTCGTGCATGAATTTATCACCTCCCTCCAAGATTACTCAAACATATTCCTCACTGGTCTCCCCCGCTCCACTATTCAAAAAACTTCAGCTCATTCAGAACTCTGCTGCCTGCATACTTACCTGGACCAAACTCCGTATGCCCATCTCACCAGTTCTGGCCGGGGTCCACTAGTTCCCCATCTCCAAACGGATCGCCTTCAAGATCCTCACACTTGTGTTTAAATCCATTCACTCCCTGGCACCTCCCTACCTGTCCTCACTCACCAATTCACCACAAGCGCCTCTGCTCAACTGGCTCCGGCCTCCTTCTCATCCCTTGCACCCTGGACTCCATCAATGGAGATTGCGCTTTCCGCCACTATGCCCCAAAACTCTGGAACACTCTCCCTCAATCCCTCCACCTTGCCCCCTCCCTCTCCTTTTTCAAGTCGCACCTGAAAACCTTGCTTTTCGACCATGCTTAGTCACCTCCCCCACCCCCGGCTCGGACTCAGGCTCTGCCACTGTCAAGCGCGCGGAGACGCTACCCTGTGTGGAGGGCACTATATAAATGCTACATAAGTTGTTGTTGTATGTCTAATCAGTCTTAAAGAAATGATTTTAAATAAATGATGTACAGTCTGACAAAAGAACAACCTTAGTACTTTTGGGGATAAAGTACAACATTATTGCTTCAGACCATGTAGAGGGCGATATTGATTAGTCTACAATCAAGACTAGTTACAAATTACAATCATTATTTCTAACAGCTAAATGTACTCCTTGTGAAATTCTGTGCTCTCATCTTATTTTGGTCAGCTGGATGTCAGACACATTCAGGAGTCCATCACCATGCCATGAGCATCCAAAGCAGACAAAATTCAATATGTTTGCCACTTGCACATGTAAATTTTCCTGTATCTGGAACTCTCCTCAGAGAGACACAAATTATGCCAGGAAGTATGAGGTGCGGGTTGACAAGAGACAAGGTTTAGAGATCCCAGAGTGTGCATTGGGATACTGTGGGAATTTAACCAGCTAAAACAAACACAAATTATATTTATATATTGCATTTAAGGTCAGGAAGACATCCCAACATCCCAACATCCATTGTGATTTCTGTCTGGAAAGCATCCGACTGCTTGTCCAGCTCAGACCACCCTCGCCATCAAAGCGTTGGCATTCAGAGTTAAATGGCCGAGTGGGAGGAATCCCTATTTTTAGTGACAAGGCTGCTCCTCCAAGTCTTGCCGGTGGGTCAAGCTGACTGGTCTGTCATCAACCCACAGTAACCAAACTCAGGGCTCAGAAACTGGTCAACCAAGATTACCACATAGGGTCAACTCGATTCCAACATTCTGCTGCCAGGATTTCTCAATGGAGCAGCTCAGCTTCAAAGGATGTAGGAGGATTGTCATTAGTAATAAAAAAAAACACAAAATAAAGCAAAATAAATAAATCACAAGCTACAACCAGACTTGAACATTCACTGTAAAGCAAAACAACCAATATATAAAATATATAGTGCAAGTCAAATGCAAGGATTATTATATACAGTAGTGCTCCATAATAAAACTCAAACCCGCTTTAAAACGAAACATGATGGTGGTATTGATTGCGCAGACATGCAGTACACTAAAAGAAAAATGGCCAACTTCTGGATGATAGAGTCTCTCCCAAAATCACTTACTGTTTGCTGCACAAAATAGGAAATGCTGATGGTGGCAAACTAACGACCCAGAAATCAGCCATTGTGTCATAAGGGGTGCCCCGGCCCTAGAAACAGTGCAGAGGCGAGCAACGAAGATGATCTGCAGCAGTGCTAGTGGAATGAGTTATAAGCAATGCTTAAACAAGCTGGGGCTCCTCAATCTTGAGAGAGGATGACTTAGTAGGCACCTCATAGAAGTGTATAAAACTAAATGAGATTCAAAAGTAAACCCAGAACAATACTTAAGGATGCACCAAGACAATTGAGTAAGAAGCCATAGTTACAAAGAACAATTTCAGGACCACATATTAGGAAGTTTTTCTTTACCCAGAGGATAATTAACAACTGGAACAGGTTGCCAGGAGAGGTGGTTGAGGCCAGGACACTAGACTCATTTAAAAAACAGCTTGATGCTGTGATAGGCAGACAGCAGGGTGGGTGTTCAGAAGGATGAGATCAGATGGCTCAAAGGATCTTCTTTGTTCAAACCAATGTTGTGATTGCAGCATGAAGAGCTGCCTGCCAAGTGGGAAGCCAGTAGCTCAGTAGTGTGCATAAGCAGTGAATGGTCCACATTGCAACCGTGTTATAAGCAAATGTGTGTTACAGTGAAGCACATTATGATGGGCTGCACTATACACACTTACTTACTGAGTGATAATTCACCTCTGATTTGATGCAAGAATTATTTGCATATGGCTCATTTGAAAAACAAACAAAATAAATTATTCTTGGTTGGCTTATTCTTGGATTAATGTGGTACATCATTCCTTACGGAGATGGATGCAAGTAGAGCAATTCATTGTCCTATAAGAAGTCTAATAAGCATTCAACTCATCTGTGGTCTTATACTTAGCCCAGTAAATGAAAAATTTATGTCTCACCTAATAGCATCAATTGGAGATCGCCTACGTTTTCGCTCATGCTCAGGGACTACATGCCAGGTAAACACCAGATTCCAGTCAAAGCCGCCAATCTGAGGCTCTCCAGCATTTCCCAGGTACTCAAAGGTATTCCAATCAATGACGTCAATCACAGGACACACAACAGCACTTTCCTCCTCATGGATTCTGCAGAAGATTCAAATCAAGTACCAGCACAAATGAGCTGTAATCTATATTTACAATTCATGGCGAAGACTTGATATGCTGAAAATATTACAGTCAGGTGCCATTATAATGCAGTGTTTGGGTCCACAAAATCAGACTATTATATATTTCAAGCGGTTGCTGGAACCACAAGACCTAGGGGTACTATGAGGTGAACGTTAAAAATTCCAAGACACTATTAAACAGATAAGGCTGGGTCTCCCAATATCAGGGCCTAGATAGATTTGTCATTCACTTTATAGCTGTTTGAGAAATTTGCTATGCACAAATTGTTCAAAGCAATTTGCGTAAAATGGAGAGTCAGTGCATTTCACAATTCTGGCTACATAGGTGGAAATGGTAAATCATTTGAGTTTAGGTCCCCAGACGCCATACTCAGTCTGTACACTGCTCTGGTCAAACTGCACTTAGAACACTGCAAACACTTCTGGTCACTGAGACATAAGGGAACTGCCCAGGTTCTGGAGGCAGTGCAGGGGAGAGCAAAGGGGATGATCCCCAATGTTAGAGGAATGAGCTATGGGCAACAATTAGGCGACCTGGAACTCTTCAGTCTTGAGAAATGACTCACAGGGGACCAAAGTGGTGTATAAAATTTTAAATAGGTTTGAAAAAGTAAACCCAAACACATACTGCAAGATGTACCAATACAGTAGAACAAGAGGACATAGATGTAGAGTTGCAAAGGGCAATAGACATTAATTTTAATTCAAACCAAAGCTATTTAGTGTAATTTTCTCAGTAATTAAACTAATAAGTTAAATACAGCAACAAACAGATACCAGCAATGGTACTAAGATTATCGAAGTTTATCCAATCTGTAAGTTTTTACAAACAAACATTCATTTGTTTTCCATTATTGCAATGAAGGTCAGGTACAATAAGTAACTGCTCAAAATGAAGGACATCGAAATGTAATCCGTAATCTCAGTATAACTATTTTTTGATCAACAGAATTCTCCATTATGCCTTTTAAAAACTCCCATTAACTACAATTTGATTTAAGTACATAAGTGTGCATAACATCCAAGACTAGATTATTGCTCCTTTATCTCCTACCACTTTATTCACACTGCCAGAGGGGATAAAACAGGTTTTATTTCTGGTGCGGTATCCCCAAGTCTCTAACCACTTTCACCTTTCTCATTGCTAACTTCCAACTATGTTCATCTTTTCTATTTTACGAATGGAACTGTGGTTAATATTTCTCCTAACTTTCCCAAGTTCCAAACACAGTCTGTGATTCTTACATGCTCTTCCTGTATCTGTCTTCCTTCCTCACTGTGTGTTTAAGTCAATCACTGCAACAGAACCTTTCCAAGAACCTCAAATTATTTCTTCCTCCTAAATTTCTAAACTTGGCATTACCAAACACTTCAGAACTTCTTGATTTATTTATCTCTTTTTACCATTCTAGTGCTTCCTCCTACATCCACTCTTAATTGTGCATGAACCTCAATAATAGTAAATCTGTTACAGCCTCGCCGTTTTTTGGATTATAGTATATTGAATCCCTGCACTGCAGATCTTGGTTGTTCACTTAAGTTTTTCAAAAAAATCTGTCTGTTCAGTAACCGCTTGATTTGGAGTGGAGTGAGAATTTATCCTTTTTAGGAGAGGGATACTTGATAAAAATTGGAATTATAAATATGAATGATCTAAATGTAAGAGTTTGATCCTACCTTTCCAACAGTGGCTCCAGCCAGCCTATGTGGCATTCACAGTGACAATCCAAGAATGTCAAGACATCACCTGTTGCTATAGATGCACCCAGCAATCGTGCACGAACCAAACCTTCTCTCTTTCCCGCACGAATCAGACGTACTTTGCGAAGAGAAGCAATGTAGTCTTCTAAACGTTGTTTTAGGTGTTCTGTTGGAGCAAAGAAAGGAACGAAACAGAGATACAGAGTTCATGGGTTTTAAGTTGTTTGGGTTATAAGAATACTTAAAACAGTTAATTATGTACACAGTCAATTTACACATTCCAAACTGAGCTTCTTCATGTATTGTGTTAAGCATGGAGCAGAAAAACACCATTTAGAGTACTGCAACACAAGATCTATTTGGCTAAGGTAGACAAAATACTGTTTGTCCCAGTTTATCTTGCTCCTTCTTGTGGACAGTATCTGGAATTAAAGATGTTAGAAATGAAAATGGAATGTGATCTGAAGGTGCAAGAGCACTGACATAAAAAAATCCTGTGTTTTTTACCATTTACTGCTTCCTCATATCTACTCTCAATTATGCTTAATTCTCCATAATATTAAACCTGTTACGACTTTTTGATTTTGATCTTTTTTATTGTAATGTATTGAACTTTTTATATATTGCCTTGTGATACAGAAATAAACCATTTCACTGCCTTTTATGATTATTGGCAATTAACTCACATGTAAAAGTTGCTAGCAAGGGCTGGACTGCAATCAGCTTTGTTTAGAGTTTGTCATAATTGGGAGTGTGAGAGGAGAGTCTGGAGAACTAAGATATATATAGAGCTTCAATAAAATATTTTTATTATTAAAGCTATTGTGCAAGTTTTGTTTTTTGGGTGTGACTACAAGCATTCAATATTGTTTTGCACAGTTGCACTGTTCCATGAGTGTGCATCATTTTCCTATAATGTTCCATAATGCTCTTTCTTCATGTGCGAGTCTCCAATGAATGTTTGTAGGCTATTCAACTGCAGCAGACATTCCAGCTGATCATGACCTTCACTTCACTGTTTTTTCCCCGTTTTCGACAATACCTCACCCCAAAAGTTACCGAAACCCTTGTCCATGCCTTTGTCATCTCTCAGCTGGACTACTTAATGCCCTCCTCACTGGTCTCCCCTCCTCCATCAATCACAAAATTCAATTCATCCAAAACTCCACCATCTGCATTCTCATCCGCACCAAACCCCGATTATTCCAGTCCTTGCCATGGAAACACAACGTATTTCTTACCAAAGTAATAAAGCAAGAATTTGAAACAGGAGTGGCTGTAAGAGCATTGTGGCATCCTGGGAGACTCCAAGTAAAGAATAAAGTATCAATGATCTGTGCTCCATTCATTCACCAGACAGCTATGTGAAGGTGAATGAAAATTAAATGAAAACGTGTGTGAAAACCAATGACTTCCTCGCTTCAAGATAAAGGCACCAAAAGACCACATTCTGTTCTTCAAGATTACTTCAAATTACACAAACATAACCTCACTAAAACTCTTCAATTTTAAGTCTGTTGAATAAAAAGCTTCAAGTAAGCTTGATGGGCCATCAATAAACAGTGGCTGTATGTATGCAACGACTTTTATAAGAAGAATCCTTGCACTTGATAAAGCTCCTCATCACGTTATTGATACGTTTCAAAGCGCTTCACAGAAGCTGTCAAGTGAATTGACTGTAAATTCAGTGGGTGAAAAGTGGCCAATTACACACAGCAGTGTCCACAAACAATCATGAATTGAGTGACCAAATTATTATTTTTTTAAAAAATTTGAAGGGATTGAATATGTTCAATCACCCACAGAAAAACAGAAGGCAAATAATGATCCAATCTGACACTGAGAGCAAGGAAAAACACCTGCAGATAGACTGCAGATAGATTGGGGTATGCTGAAGATGAGGTGCTCATTGGTTCCGTCATCCCCAAACGTGAGAAGGAGCTACAAGTTAAAATCCAATTCCCAACCATCCCTTCATTTGGTCACTCAATCCACGACTGTTTATGGGACACTGCTGTGCGCAATTGGCAGCCATGTTCACCCACCAAACACACAGTCACTACACTTTACAGTATATTTACAGTGGCGTCCTGTAGCGTAGTGGTTAGAGCACTCGCCTCGCAAGCGAGGGGACCTGGGTTCAAATCCCGGGTGGATCAGGATGAAACCTTAGCCAAGTTTCCTTCCTCCACACACACGCCTCTGTTTACCTAGCAGTAAGTCGGAACCCACTTGTTAGTCGATTGGCAGATCGTTTTTCTGGGGGTAATAATCCCTTCAAAATAATAATAATAATAATGTGGTCACTCAATAATGTGGGATGTCGCTGTGCGCAATTGGCTGCGCGTTTCACCCACAAAACACGCAGTCACTCCAATTTACACTATATTGCTTTGAGATGTCGTGATAAGGCGCTATATCAAATGCGAGGATTATTATTATCCTTGAACAGCCATTTTATATTTTACAGTAATTGCTGCACAGCTTTCTTCATAAAACCTAAAGTCATGTTAAGGCTCTAAGTCATAGATTTTAAGCAATACTGGAATTGTGCCAATGGGACCGATTAAGCACACTACTTTCTTCTTTCATTTAGTCAAACGTTCAGAACACTACAATCTGGGTTCTGCGATATGCTCAAAGCCTTTTTTTATCCATCCATTTGTTCTACAAACATAATTTTGTAGAACAAACATAAAAGAATGTTATTAAGAACACACGAAAAAGGAAACGACCAAAATCACCATTAGACCATAGGAACAGAAGAGAGCCATTCAGCCCCTCAAGCCTGTTCTGTCATTCTTTCAGATCATGGCTGATCTGTACCTCAACTCCAATTCACTGCTCTTGCCCTATCCCTTGATACCCTGACCTAAAAAATATCTATCCACCTTTGTCTTGAAAATGTGAATGGATCCAACATCCACAGCCCTTTGGGGGAGAGAGTTCCAGATTTCCACTATCCTTTGGGTGAAACACTGTCTCCTGAAGTGAAATCAGCTTTAGGAGCTCTAGCTCTAATTTTAAGGTTATGCGCCTTATTCTGAATTCCCCACCAGAGGAAATAGTTTGTCTGTATCTATCCTATCGAATCCCTTTATTATTTTAAAAACCTCAATCAGATCACCCCTCAACCTTCTAAACTCAAGGGAATACAGACCAAGTTTATGCAACCTGTCCTCATAATTTAACCCTTTAAGCCCTGGTATCATTCTGGAGAATCTGTGCTGCAACCCCTCCAGAGCCAATATACCCTTCCTGAGGTGCAGCGCCCAAAACTGGACGCAGTACTCCAGAGGGAGTCCAACTAAGGCTTCACCTGGTCAGTTTTACTACAATGTCATAATGTAACTCATCTAATACCCTATTGCTGGTATACCAGCCTAATTCCATTGGCTTCATCCTCTTTCCTTGAACTATATTTGAAATTACCAAATAAGTGAGGTGAGAAAAAACATAACATTTATATCAGGTGGTTCAGTATCAGAAGGCTGGTATACAAGCAACAAAGTCTCAGATGAGTTATACCCGCTTAATTGATAAATATATTATAACCCTTTAAAATACAGAATATTTCATTAAGAACAAAGCAAGTGACAAGTTGTACTGACCTCGATCACTGTAATCATCCACTACAATGATCTCCTTCAGCAGAATATCAGGTGAAGTGTCGAGAACACTGTGAATTGTGCGTAGAAGTGTTGACCAGGCCTCATTATAAAATGCTATTACCACTGAAGTGGTTGGAAGGTTGTTATAATCATATGTCTTCTCTTTGCACCTGGATATAACATAATGTAACACAACATTAAATCTGACATAAGTTATTATGCCATTTCCTATAAGATTGTATCTTTTTCTTACAGTATTTACCATATAGTTGCCATATACAATTGTGCAATTGAGCCAAACTACTTATAAAATGCATTCAATGTGATAACTATCACAATTGCTGAAACATGACCAAACACTTTAAAGCAGTATAGTTTTCTTGATAATTTAAATTGCTTTCATTGCTCTATTTTCAAAGTAAAAGTACACATATGTGTGTGATGGTGCTTTTGTTATTGTAAATAGATTGTGTTATTGACTTTCAGACCTTTCTTTAAAGAATTATGAGGTGAAATTTGTCTTCACTTCAAATGCAGTATGAATTTAATGAGCCAGACTCCTTATAAAATGGACTTAATGTGATAACTATCACAAACTTCAAGTTATTCCTTAATCTGTAACTGAACTAACCACACTCACACCAACTTCTGCACAGTAAATATTTCCATTCACATTTTTAAAAAAATTTGTGCCATTTTTTTTTCAAACTTTATGAGACTGATTTTACATCCTTGAAGCAGTATCGGAGTCCTGATTCACAGGATATTGACTCAAGGATGGTATGGGGCAAGAACAGGTGAGTGACTAAATGGATATGGCTCTCGGAGAGATATGATGGGTCAAATGGTCTCCTTCTGTACTGCACCACTGTACTTAACGATACGATAGTTCAGATTTAATTGCTTTGAACATAAAGTGATGAATATGTAGAATGGACTTTTCAAAGAGGTGATGAAAGCAAATTGCATTTGCACATTCAGAAGCAACATGATAGTTATTTGGTAAGGGAGTTGACTGAAAGATATGAAAGACAGCTGTGTTACATGAGACAATTTTTTTAAAAAATAATCCATTTAGCCTCAATGTTCTTTTCAGACTTGTACAATTGTATGCACTGCCTTTTGGTGTCTGGGAAATATACTAAACAAAATGTTTGTGTTCCATTCCACCTTCAAATACACACATTAAGAGGGTTTTTGTTCTTCTCAAGTACCTGGACTGATGCCCAGAACAGTAGATATGAACTTCAAAGAACAATTACAAAGATGAAATCTCATATCAAAATTTTATATTGATGACATATCCAATAAAGAACAGTTGAAGGTAATCAGAAGTGGCAATTTTTTAAAAAAAATTCATAAGCTAAGAATGAATTGCATGCCATAATTTCCCATTCTGAGAGAACGCTCTGAGTTCATTATTTTTTTCACCAGCTTGCAAGTTCACTTTAGCTCAATACATCACTATTGTTAGCTTTTAACAGTAAATCAATAAAATCATTCAAAAGGGAACTGGATAAGCTAGAAATTGTTAATGGAAATGGGAGCAATTTAGGAAAAAAACATATAGCAGTGGCTCAGACATGATGGCCTCTTTCAGTCCCACAAAATGACGATGATGATGATGTAATATGATAATAAAAAAATTGGCCACATTTTAGCCATTTCTTAAATGAAATGACACATGGAATCAGGGTATGTATCTCTGGATATAGAAGTAATATAAAAATGGCTAATTGGTCATTTTCCTCTGGTAAGATCTAAGCAGGGAAGTTTTTTCCTGTTTTTGGTGGAATAAAGATAGCTTCTGTCTGCTACATGTACATAGAGTGAGCAAACTATAAATACCACTCCTTGTAATTGTAGACTGTGGTGAATAAAATCAGCAGTGTACTCCAAAATTGTGGCGACTGAAATGAAGGGGAATTGCATCTTTGTGATTGATTAGGAAGCTAGAATTTCCTTACTTAACAACCTTCCCCATCAATCATTTAAGTGTGTTTACTACATTACACAGATTTAACACCACTTTCACATAAAGCAGGAACCTGCCTTGTATTTCGAACACTTCCATGGTTAATTAAAACTTTGTCATACTTTAAGAATTCTACTCAACACCTGACTAGACTTTATTAAAGCAAAAGACAGCTGCTCTCTACATTTCCCATTTCTGAAAGACGGGCTGAGTGTCTACCTTAACAAATAACAAACAACACACTCTCTTGTAAGTCTGTGTCACTCTGTTTCAGGTTGGCTCAGTTGGTAGCACGCTTGCCTCTGAGTCAGAACATTGTGGGTTCAAATCCCATATCAAGACTTAAAACTCATATAGTCTAATCTGACACTCCAATGCAGTGCTGTGGGTGTGCTGCAATGTTGGGGAGCGCCTTCCTTCAGATGAGACATTAAACAGAGATTCCACATGCCATGGCACTATAAAAAAAAGGGAAGGGAGTTTCCTGGCCAGCAATCACCCAAATAAAAAAATGGTCACTCACTCCAAGGCTGTTTGTAGGACACTGTTGTGCTCAAATTCATCCACAAAACAGTCACTCCACCTTAAAATATATCCTAAGAAGCACTTTGGATTTGGTATAGTGCCTTTCTATGTCTTCCTGACACAGAAATGCACTATACCAAATCCAAGGAATTATTATTATGATGATTATTATAGTTATTCAGCAATTCAAAACTAAAATTACCCTCAATACATTACAAGTATGAAGCATTTAGCACAAAAGGTACATTTTTAGAAAATTCCTGGCTATTAGTTAAAAACACTTTTAGAGATACTGAAAACATGATTGAAGTGGACAATTATTAGAGTGAATAATTTCTGACGTGGACACTTAAATCACATCAGCAGAGCACTACTGCCCTCCAATGGCATGGGTACTGGCTGCTTACTTCCAACAATCTGAAGTAAAGACTGCAGGGTTAAAAACAAGATACAAACATTGTAAAGGGGGTTGGCATTTTATGGGCGTCAACAGCTGCCTTAAAATGAATCTCTACTGCAATCAAAGGCACTGCACATAACAAACAGAATATCTATAATAATAATAAGGAACCCGATTGTTAGTCAATTGGCGGATCACTTTCTGGGGGTAATAATCCCGTAAAAAAAATTGGTCACTCAATCCAAGTGTTTGTGGGACACTGCTGTGTGCAATTGGCTGCCACGTTTCTCCCACAAAATACAGTCGCTACACTTTACAATATATTCTGTGAAGCGCTTTAAGACGTCTTAACAACATGATAAGGCACTATATCAAATGCAAGGATTATCATTATTATTATTATTTGTTTTGCCTGACTCAGAAAATCTCCCATTCAAAATACTCAACACATGCTTCTAAATTTCCAAAGCTTTCATAGCATTTATACTAAGGGCCATTCTATTCAAGTAAGCAAAACACAATGAAAATATACAGTACAAGGGATATTCACTTCAGTGATAACTATTAGCACTAAGCTACTTCAGAAACAAGTCAATTTCCATGTTCTTTCACGAGAGGACAACACGAGATAGGATTGTAGCTTGGTCATTTGGAAGATTTGCGGTGATAACCTCTTTCAGGTCTATAATTGATGGCTTGGTGGTGTTACGGATCCTGCTTTCCATGGGTTAACCCACAAAATTACTATTTTTGGAAATGTTGTCCCTGGCTTCATATATAGATGGGTTGAGATGTATCCATCTCTTAAATTCTTGCTTATTTACCTCCAGCAGGTGTATGTGCCTATCAAAGAGCTTCTCTCATCAAAAGGCATTTGTAAGATTTGCTATTGTAATTCTGATGGACATCTTGACAGCCAAGCCATGCAACAAAGCAAGCTTGGCTCATTGACACATGCCCATTTCCAATAACTGACTGCTGTTGAAGAGAATCGGTTTGCAGTAGGTCAAGTGGTCTTTGCCACTACATGTAGTTTTGACATCCTGATGAGAAAATGTTGTCAGTGTATTTGGTGACACCGTCTATACCTATAAAGAAATTCAAAACAATCTCAAACAAACTTCTAACCAATCTAGCAATTTGATCTTGTCACATGGAATTAATGTTAAGGTTATGGACTTGCCATATTGCCTACAGCTTCAATGCTGCAACCAAATTGGTTGTTTGGGAGAAATATAAAGACTTAATATTGGCTTCATATCCCAGCACCCTTCACCTACCTGGAGTCCTTTATGCATGTCACCCAGACTGGTTTGGTTGTGACCAGAACAATGAAACAATCAGAAAATCTAGAATTATACAGCGCAGAAGGAGGCCATTCAGACCATCGTGTTTGTGCCGGCTCTTTGAAAAGAACTGTCCAAATCAATCCCACTGCCCCGCATTCTCCCTATAGCCCTGCAAACGTGTCCTCCCCAATAAGTCACACAAACACACATGCTCAAGATTTGCACCTTTGTGAGATAAAAATAATAACTTTTTAATTTGGTGTAGCACCTTTCACATCAGGAGGAGTCTCAAAGTGCTTCACAGGATGGGTGAACTATTAGTTGAGCTACTGAAATCTAGAGCAACAGTTCTACTTCTGGTGCCGTGGGCTCTGGAGCTAACATTTTAGTGTCAGGGTCGTCATGCTATTGAATTGGTAAATTAGAGTTACTACTTACTAATTGGTACTGGAATTTCTGCTCAAGACTATCTTCATGAAGATCATCTTCCTTGAGTTTGTTATCGTGGCTCAGTTTGTAGCATTCTCACCTCTGGATCAGGTTGGGGGTTTAAATTATGTCAGGATGTGAGCATTATCACGTACAATACTTGAAGGCTGTATTGTCAGAGGTGAAGTCTTTCAGATGAGGCATTAAACCATTTACTGTTTTTTTCTGATAGCCGTTAATGATTCAATGACTCTATTTAACAAAAGGGAGTATCCTGGCCAAAAATCTTCCAGCTTAATTGGACATTGGCCTCATGGCTATATGGGGTATCTTGATGGCACAAATGTTTGCCAATTAAATTTGATTTTCACTTGACAGTATTTATGTAGGAATCATCTTGAGACATTTTAAACTGATAAGACACTACATAAGTGTAATTTCTTTTTTCCTCCACATGTATTCCAGTTCACCTGAGAAAATCTTCAAAGGTGGCTGTTTTGCTCCGAATCCATGGAGCATTCTTGGGCAAGGTAGAAAATCGGGTTGCTAATCTACTACCAGGCTCTGAAGAAAGGCAATCACTCCTAACAATCTATTCCTTTATATTTCAAGTGTAAAATAGATCAGGGTTTAAAATTAATAACCCATAAAATAAACACTATATATAACTTTGATCAACAGTAACAGCAGATGGCTAGCATAAGTATTCTCCAACTAAGGTTTTAAGACTTATTAAGCTCAAAGTCCACAGCCTGTTAACATAGAAATGAATAATGACAAGAACAGATGTTTGTCTGCAATGCTAACAACTTTCAGTCTTCCTGCAATCAATACAATATCTTTGTGTAACTAAAACAATTAGAAGGTACCTATTTTGTCTACAATTGCAACCGTTTACTTTAAAATAAGCCTTGCATTTGATATAGCACCTTATCACTTCACTGAGACGTTTCAAAGCGTTTCACAGAATATATTGTAAAGTGGATTGTGGATTGACTATGTTTTTTTGTGGGTGAAACGTGGCAGTCAATTGTGTGCAGCAATGTCCCACAAACAGCTGTGGATTGAGTGAATTTTTTTTTGGTGGGTGGGGGCGGATTATTACTCCCGGAAAGCGATCCGCAAATCAATTAACAGCCGGATTGCTACTTACTGCAAGGTAAACAGAGGTGTGTGAAGTAAAGAAACTTGCCTAAAGTTTTGCTCTGTCCCATTTACTTTGTATTCAGTAGTTTCCGTTTGGATACTGGCAATAAAATTTATTACCATATCCTGCTCGTTTGTAGATATTCAGACAGATATTATCTGATGTTGAGGACTTTAACATGAAGTAGGCTGTCTTTGTCAAGGTTTTAATCCAAGAGCAAATAAGCAGATAAACAGGGCTATAGTATTCCATCACTGGGTGGATGCAGTTGAACGTGGCAAATAGAGCTGAAATGTCTTTATGATTCACACTCCTTCATCTACTTTACGAGCCATCTTTGCCACTTGTTGATCCAAGAACAGCTGTGATTAATAACTGATGATCAGAAACCTTTAGATTAAAAGTGGACAGACAACATCAGGTTCACTGTTATTACTCTATACTTGTTGGATTTATGGGTGTTATTCAAGAATTTAGATTTGGAGGTCACTCGGTTACTCTTCAGTTTATATTGCCCTTGGTATCTAATTTTGAGGAAAGGGGATTGGGCCTTGCTTGATTTGTATTTGGTGCCATGACCTGCTGTGCCTTCCCCAACCTCCGCAACATCGCCTGGCTCCGCCACTGCCTCTTCCCTCAAGCCGCCAAAATCCTCATCCATGCAATTATTATATCTAGGCTCAACTACGCCAACTCCCTGCTTGTCGACCTTCCCAACTCTTCCCTCCACAAGCTGCAGATCACCCAGAACTCTGCAACTTGTGTCCTCTCCCACACCAGGCTCTGTGACCCTATCAACCACATCCTCGCCCAGCTCCACTGGCTCCACACCCCCCCCAGAGGAAAGTTCAAAATCCTCGTCCTCGCCTTCAAAGCCCTCCACAACCTTCCTTCTTCCTACATCTGTGACCTGCTAATGCCATATCAACCTGTCTGCTCCCTCCACTCAGTCAACTCTGGCCTGTTCTACATCCCCTGTATGGCCCACCCCACCATTGGCAGTCGGGCCTTCAGCCTCTTTGCCCCCATCCTTTGGAACTCCATCCCACAGTCCCTTCACCTTGCTTCCTCCCTTGCCTCCTTCAAGGCACGTCTCAAGATCCTCCTCTTCAACCGCGTCTTCGGCCACCTACCTACCCCTACCCTCCACCCCTCCTGATCCCAAACTCCTGCTCGGGTCCAAATCCCTGACTGTCCAGCGCCTTTGGATGTCCTCTTGATGTGAAAGGCGCTATACAAATTTAATTTGTTGTTGTTGTATTTTCAAGTTATTAATACAATAATAATATTCTCCAGGGTTAATAATCCCCTCTATCAGAATGCAAGAATTATTATTATAACACATCCTTATATACAAAATAATAATAATAATTACATTCGGCATAGCACCTTTCATGTCATCAGGACATCCCCTAAGCCCTTCACAGGATATACTGGAAAGTGAGTGACTGTGTGGGTGAACACAGCAGCCAATTTGCACATGGCAATGTCCCGCAAACAGCCATGAAGTGAATGAGCAAATTTATTTGGGGCTTGTTGGCCAGGACAGGAAAAACTCCCTTCTCTTGTTGAATATTTCCATGGATCTTATTAAACATGCAGATGGGGCTTCAGCTTAATGCCTCATCCAAAGGAGAGCATCTCCAACAACACTCCTAACAAGGCATTGGAGTGCAATCTCTTTATGAGACTTTGTGAGTTCCAAGTCCCAAAGTGGGGCTTGAACCCACAGCAACGACAACAACTTGCATTTATATAGCACCCTTCACGCAGGGTGTGGCATCCTAATAACCTTCTGCCTCAGAGGTTAGAATGGTGACCAACCGAGCCGTGTGATATGGAGGAATGCCATTACATTTCCCCATGCAGTCTTCTCAGTTTGTATCAGACGACCCGCTTGGATAAAAGGCTGATTTAACTTACCCTTCATTCAGTAACACTGGCTATTTGTGGGACATTGCTGAGCGAACATTAGCACCTGAGTTCGCCTATGAAATACGACAGTGGGAGCACTTTACAGTAAATCTTGTGAAGCGTCTTGAGACTGTCCCTCCCGACCCGAAAGGCACTGTTTCACATCATAAGGATTATTCTTATAACACAGGTTCAGATGCATTTTAACTTTAGAGCATACAAATGCTTCCTTACGCCCTATATATTATCATTGTTATTATTATTGTGTACACACAGTAGTTATGCAGAGAGAGCAATGCCCGAGCACAGAAGAGCTGTGTGTGTGTGTGTGTGTGTGTGTGTGTCAGTGTCTGGTACTCACAGTGGATTCCACCTCTCCGGCAATCGGCGGCGGAGGGAGATTTTGTCGCTGAGATAAGTATTAATTTGATGTTTGCTGATACTTTCCTCCTCCTTCACCCTCTCCTCGCCTCCCAGGTGCAGGTGCACGGCTCTGCCCAGCTCTCCCAGCGCCTTCACATCCAGGGGAGGCTTCTCATACACCGGCCTCTTGAGCAGCTCCTGCTCCCGACCCCCAGACTGCGGGCTGTCAGCCGCCCCCCGGCGCCCACTCTCCTCCTTCCCCTTCTGGCTCTCAGCCTTTCTGGGGAACAGCAGGAAGCCCAGAGCCGCCATCCCGCAAAGCAACAACAGTACAGTCTTGGCCCGGCGCCGCCTGCCCAGCGCCATGATGCTGAGCTGAGAGCGAGTCACCCACACGGGAACCTTCACTCAGTCCCTCGCCATCGCCATCGCCGCTCCGCTCCGGGACAGAAACAAAGTTTGTCGGCAGCCCCGGGCCCAGCCCCGGGCCGGGCACTGCTCCATGGCGCCGCCTCAGCCCCGCTTCCTGACGGCAGGAGGACAGGAAGGATGTGTTGGCTGAGGTGTCGGTTTGAGTGGCCCCTGAGCCCGGGAGCGGGAGCCAGGCTGGCGGTGTGAGCAGCAGCAGGAGGGACGGGTTGGCGATGGTGATGGGGAGGGCGGGGGTTTGTCATGACGACGGGATGCGGAGTGTCATGGTGACGGGACGGGGGTGTCATGGTGACGGGATGGGGGTGGGTGTCATGGTGACGGGTTGGGGGGTGGGTGTCATGGTGACAGGTTGGGGGGTGGGTGTCATGGTGACGGGTGGGGGTGGGTGTCATGGTGACGGGGGGGGGGGATGTCATGGTGACGGGATGGTGGGTGTCATGGTGACAGATGGGGGGTGGGTGTCATGGTGACAGGATGCGGGGTGGGTGTCATGGTGACAGGTTGGGGGGGTGGGTGTCATGGTGACGGGTTGGGGGGTGGGTGTCATGGTGACGGGTTGGGGGGGTGGGTGTCATGGTGACGGGGGGTGGGTGTCATGGTGATGGGATGGTGGGTGTCATGGTGACAGATGGGGGTGGGTGTCATGGTGACGGGATGGGGGGTGGGTGTCATGGTGATAGGATGGTGGGTATCATGGTGACAGGATGGGGGGTGCGTGTCATGGCAACGGGATGGGGGTGGGTGTCATGGCGACGGGATGGGGGTGGGAGTCATGGCGACGGGATGGGGGTGGGTGTCATGGCAACGGGATGGGGGGGTGGGTGTCATGGGGATGGTATGGGGAAGGGTCATTCTAATGGGATGGCGGGGGCGGGAGGGGGGGTTATCATGATGGCATGGGGAAGTGGGTGTCGACAACAACAACTTGGATTTATATAGCACTCTCCACGCCGGACGGCGTCTCAGAGTGCTTCACAGTAACGGATCCCGGGGCCGAGCCAGGGGGAGGGAGAGGAAGGTGACCAAAGGCGCGGTCGAAGAGAAAGGTCTTCAGCCGAGACCTGAAAATAGGAAGAGAGGGGACGAGGCGAAGGGGGTGAGGAAGGGAGTTCCAGAGCCTCGGGGCTGAGTGGCTGAAGGCACGGCCGCCAATGGTGGAGCGGAGGATTCGGGGGACAAGGAGGAGGCCAGACCTGATGGAGTGAAGGTGACGGGCACTGTTGTGAGGAGAGAGGAGGTCAGAGAGGTAGGGAGGGGCAGAGGAGTGGAGGGATTTGAAGACAAGAGTGAGGATCTTGAAGTCGATCCTCTCTGGGTCAGGCAGCCAGTGCAGTCTGGCAAGGACTGGGGTAATCGGGGAGTGGAGTTTGGTGCGGGTACGAATGCGGGCGGCAGAGTTTTGTATGACCTGGATTTTATGAATGGTAGTGGAGGGGAGACCGGTGAGGAGGGCGTTTGAACAGTCCAGCCGAGAGGTGACAAAGGCATGGACCAGGGTTTCGGCGTTTTTGGGGGTGAGGTATTGACGGAGACGGGCGATGCGTCAGAGGTGGAAGAAAGTGGTGCTGGTGAGGAACCGGATGTGGGGGAGGAAGGATAATTGGGGGTTGAACATGACGCCTGGGTTGCGTACGGTTTCGGAGAGTTTTAGTGGGAGGTCAGGTAGGTGGAGATGAGAACCATGCGATTTAAGACATTGATGAGAGCGAAAGAGTATGGCTTCCGTCTTGCCAACATTTAGCTAAAGGAAATTCACGCTCATCCTGCTCCTGATGTCTGACAGGCAGGCTGACAGAACATCAGGGGACCAGGGATCGCAAAGTGAGGTGGAAAAATCTCTGTACTGTGGGTAGGACAGAAACCGGACTGGAGGGGTTCGAAGAGGGAGTTGGAGAGGTGTGCGTAACAACGCGTTCTTGGACTTTGGCGAGGAAGGGCAAGTTTGAATATACTGTTTAGTATGATTGTGTGTATATCATAGGGAACACGGCAACATACAGGCAACCTTGGTTTAACATCTCACCTGAAGGACGGCATCTTCAACATTGCAGCATATCCCCAGCACTGCATTGAAGTGTTAGCATAAACTGCTGTTTATAAGTTACAAATCACCACATTGGGGCTTGATCTCCAACCTTGACTCAGAGGTGAGAGTGATACCAACTGAGCCATACTGACACCGTGTGGGTGCTTGAGAGGTATGTGAATGGTGTGTGAGAGAACCTCAATTGTGACAGGTGTTTTGGTAATTTACTCAGTCCTGATGAAAGTGGTGATTTAATTTTCTATGCAAAATATATTGTCCTTGGTTTGTTTAAGACAGTGGTTGATAGGCGATGCACTGTTCATTTCCCTTATGTAATTCTGCCCTCCAGATTTATCAGTAAGTAATCAAACATATTCAAAGTAGAATTAGGACACTGCAAGTGGGGGATTTCATTAAGTTTGCTTCATATCAGATTTTATTTTTCTCTCAATTGCTGCTTTTTAAAGGGCACAGGGACTGGGAAGCTGCAGCTTTACTGTTCTTCTCGCAACAAGCTCCACCACTGATAAGCACTCCTAGACTCTACCCTACATGAAGGGACTCAGAATAAATGCAAATTGTTGTTGTTGATTCCCAGGTAGTATTTACATTGTATAATTATTTGGAAAGCATGCTTTAAATTGAATAAATCCCAATTGAAAAGAGGTGGACACCAGCACAATTGCTAAACTGAATAAAATGTTAATGTCGAGAGCAACAACCTGAAGGAAGGCCAACTCCAACCAGACAACCAAAGAAAATAAACACAGGGCACAGGGTCAGTGTTTGTGAAAGTGTTGATATGATTTGTGACCATGCCAGAGCGCAATAATAGAGTGCAATTACTTTGACCGTTGTCGTGATAAAATATTAGTACACAACACCAAACTTTCTTCCTTCTAGGATGAATGGAAATCAGCACTAGGTACAAACATGTTCCACAGGCTTTAGCAATTGGTACAGCTCACATGATGCATTACACTATCCAAGAACATAAGGATACCACAACAAAAAAATTACATTTGTATAACGCCTTTCACGTTGGGAGGACGTCCCAAGGCGCTAGACAGTCAGAGTTTCGGACCCAAGCTGGGGGACGTGATCAAGGAGGGTGGAGGGGAAGCAGGGTAATCAAAAGCACAGTCGAAGAGGAGGATCATGAGATGGGTCTTGAAGGAGGCAAGGGAGGGGACGAGGTGGAGGGACTATGAGATGGAGTTCCAGAGGGTGGGGGCAGAGTGGCAGAAGCTCCGCCCTTCTTATTATACATGGACATAGCAACAAAAACTTGTATTGATGTAGCGCCCTACAAACAGGGGAGTTTCCTGGAGGGCTTGACAGTGGCAAAGTCGGACCCCGAGGGGAGAGGGAGTGGGGAGGTGACCCTAAGCACGATCAGAAAGGAAGGTCTTTAGGCGAGATTTGAAAGTGGGGAGTTAGGGGGCAAGGCGGAGGGATTGAGGGGTATTTTTTTTATTCCATTTATACTGGAACATATATGACAACCAAGCACCAAACAATGTAGGCACAGCACGCCACTGCATAAAAAGAACCTTACAGCAATTTGTAAAATAGATTTATTGGAACATTGTTTAAATTGAAGAAAAATTTTGAAATCTCATTTGACAAATTCCTTTTACAAAATCTGTTGCAAAATCTGTTCTAAACCTATCCTGTAGACATTACCACCTGAAATATTTTGCAATTTTTAAACTGCCAGACCCAAACTTTGCTGTGCATTGACAGCAAGTGTGGCTGTTAACTGCAGAGACATTCAATTTACCAGTTTAAATAAAGTTTTCCTCAATATGAATAAGTAAAAAGTTTCCCTCAGAATATCAAACTATGGAAGCCCAAGATATAAAATATTTTTTTCAAATCCATAAAGCCCTTTAGCCATTCTAGAAAAGTTATTTGCAGTCTTGATAAATTAATATTTATCAAAAANCATATCTAATCTTCTATTACATTCCCAGTTTTCAGAATACAGTCACTTCTGTGGCAGTCGTTTTATACACATATTGCATCATTTGTAGTTTTTGATGTAAATATTTGGCTAATTTTATTTCACTTTAAAAAATAAATTGTGTGACAAAAATAGAAAATTTTCAGTCACAAAACTTCACACTTAATGACAATGTACGTGCAATTCTCATAAAATCATTCGATTTGGTTTTTGATGAGTGCAAAAATAGAGCTCCTTCAAGTTTTCAAATTCCGTACAATAAAAACAATTTCTTTCACTATAGTTAAAATGAGCCATTGCAAAAGTTTAAAAATCAGATGGATTGTCACCAAATTCTCTCTAAATGTTTATGAATCAACTTTTAAATAGCCTTCAACCGAATGGTCAATACCTTCAATTCCTGTCAAAATGAAGTGCATTTATTATTCCACTACTGGACCATTAAAATGAAGTGCATTTATCATGTTGCAACTGGGCCGAGAAGATACCACTAATTTTCTGTTGCCAATCTTGAACCAAAGACTAATTTGGACAGTATAATTTGAACTATGTCTAGGTTGACAAGATTTTGCTCTGATTTTCTTATTTCACCACTTTATTACTCACATGGTTTAGGACCACTAGTTTGAAAATATGCTGGAAGTTGTTATATTGGGCCTACAAACTCAAATGAATGGTTTAGAATTTTAAATCGAAAGGCATCTAGTGTTTGAAGAATACTTCCTTCACATATTGTACCAAATGCATAATTAACTCCTAAAGTTTAGCCTGTCCTTAATATCAGCTACCCAATTGCATTTTTGGGGGATTACTGTCTCTCTTTTTAAGACCAAGATACATTTCAATCCTGTCTCTTTATTGCTCAGAAAGGCTTCCTTTCACAGTGTAAATATAATTACGGTATTTAGAAAATAAACTAACAACTTATAAAATTAACAAGTCACTTGCTGCCTTCAGTTTAAGCTGGGCACTCGTCAGCGTCAATTCAGATTGATACAAGGCAGTACAAGATTTTTAAAATGTGAAAAATGTCAGCATTGACGAGGAATATATAAGATTTGTAAATTAAAAGAAAAAAATCAGTAGAACAGCAAGATATCTATCAAACTATCACTTAATACATTACTCTTCCCCAACCATGACAAACACTAACAAATGTTCCCTATTCCCATTTTAAATCAAATTGACAGTGGCAGCTTTGCCCTTATTGTAGCTCCCACAGAACAGGACACAAATCATGGTGTCACAAGAAACTATGCTGGTTTAGCATCAATATTAACATTCTAACTAGGCACACTTTAAACACAGTGCAAGTACTTCATTACGTACATTCGTGCCTCCAGTTATAACACAGAACTGATTTGATGTGTCTGCAGTAGAATAATTTGGATCTGGTGCACCAGTTAAACTCAAGGATCCAAAACTGATGAGACTGCACATTTGCCGATTTGCACAACTTCTAATCTATACCAAATTCAGGTTTAATGCTATTGAAGATGATTCTCTTAATGATTCACCTATACAAATTTATAAATAATTAGAGCTTAAAAGGTGGCCTTAGATCAGTCTGCAGTCAAAACTGGAATTATGCTAATCATGTGTTGCAGTTTCATTCTGAAACAATTCTTGGATACAGTTTTGTAAATCACAACCAAGACAATGTTAAACTGATTCTATTATAATTTAGTATCAATGTCCAGGATAACATCAATAGGAAAAATTTGGTCAGCTTACCTACCTGTTGTGAATGTTGATCATTTAATACATATTAAAATAGAATTTCTTCATAAATTCAAGGTATTATTAAAAATAAACCTTTCTATTGATGAAATGGGGAAAAAGATAGAGCTACTACTATATTTGGAAAGATATAAAATCATTTTCATTTAAATCATGGCAAAACCCCGTAGCATGTTTTGGTAAGGGTAGCTGGGAGAATCAATGGAATTTATTGTTCATTGATTTGATATATATGCAAATCATTGTTTTTCTTGAAAGAACCATTTCTGATCATTAATATCTGTACAAGGCCGCAGTACTGGTGCTGAATGACCACTGATTATTCCATGGGGTACAGCTTGCACACATTTCTGTGACTGGACGTGGTATATTGAGCCATCCTGAGAAGAACACAAATGAAGCACAAAAAGAATGTTGAAATTTAATATATTTGGAGACATGCTACATACAAATCATCTATAAAAAATTGCAATTCTAGCAGGAGCAGTAAGTTTAATATATTACTCACAATATTGTTACCACCATAATCTAGCAACCTGTTTAGAATGGTACCTAAATCGGTGTAATACTGCAGTTGCCCTCTCCTTTCATGTAAATTAACAACAGCAGAATAGAAGCCTGAAAAGAATAGCTTGCTGCTTAAGCCAAATGCCACTAGAATTCTTATTTTGGGGTCCCATAGATGTGATATATTTGTAAAATAGACTAACTATGAATTACAAATTCCTGGAAATTGCAAGGGAGAAAAAAGGAAAGAGAAATGTTGAACTCTGCTTCTGTTTTGGTCACACTTTGGTACTGTGATCATGTGCAATTGGATCAGAATGATGGAACATTTGACCTCAATAAACCAAACAGAAAGGTAGCTGGGAACTTGCTCCAGTTCCTGCATATTAAAGGAAAATGTAATATTAATTTCTTGGATGAGTCTTACCTCTTTAAAAATGAATTTCTGATTCTCAGGCACAGGCTGATTATCCTTTCGGCAGAGGTACATTGTTAGGAAATCGGTGCCGACATCCACTGCAGCACAGGCCTCAGGCTGGCGAGTATTATAACGGATTTCATTTTGTGAAGAGAATTCAAAGAACTGTAATATGTAAGAAAAAGGTGTGCAGTGTTCATTACAGCAAATTTATAAGAATACTGGCTTTGTGGTAATTAGAAGATCTGCAATGATGACCCCCCAATATTCAACACAGAGAGTAGCTAGTGGAGCAGGGCAAATGCGGACTCTTTATTTCCCTAGTCACTATTTCGCTAAGATTTTAACGTCCACATTTTCAAAAAGACCTCAACTCCAGGTCAGGAATACTGATGTGATATAGAGTAGCACATTGGTTATACTAACACAATGGAGATCCTGGTTTATCAAAACTGGGATGTTGGCCTTTATCTTAAGGGAGCTGGATATAAAGGAGAGGAAATGATGCTTCATCTGTATAGAGCTTTGGTCAGACCCCATCTGGCATAGCTCATTCAGTTTTGCGCACTGTACCTCAGGAAGGATATATATGCTCTGGAGGGGTTGCAGCACAGATTCTCCAGAATGATACTAGGGCTTAAAGGGTTAAATTATGAGGACAGGTTGCATAAACTTGGTCTGTATTCCCTTGAGTTTAGAAGGTTGAGGGGTGATATGATTGAGGTTTTTAAAATAATAAAGGGATTCGATAGGATAGATACAGAGAAACTATTTCCTCTGGGGTGGAATCCAGAACAAGGGGGCATAACCTTAAAATTGGAGCTAAGCCATTTAGGAGTGAAATCCTAATGTGAAATCCTAACGTGGAAACAACTCACATCTCTGTAAAGCTGGTTTTGAAATGTTATGCATTTTGTATCCCTACTTTTTGATTTCTACGCTGCAACTACCTCTTCATTCATACCACTAGGCAAAGTGACCATTTGTAATCTTATTGATCCTAATGAAAACAAACATGGAAAAGTAAATAATAAGAAGGCAGTTTTTTGCCCAAAGTATAGTGGAAATCTGGAACTTTCTCCCCCAACGGTTTGTCGATGCTGGATCCATTCAAATTTTCAAGACTTAGGTGGATAGATATTTGTTAGGTCTGGGTATCAAGGGATGGGGCAAGGGTGGGTAACTGGAGTTGAGGTATAGATCAGCCATGATCTTAAAGAATCATGGAACAGGCTCGAGAGGCTGAATGGCCTATTCCTGTTCCTATGTTTCAAACAGATCTCCAAAATGATGGTAAGGTGAGGCTTTCTCCACATATCAACAGCAATACTAGAGGATTCCTGGGAAGATACATCCCCTTCCAAATACACTAGACTAATTTAATATGCATTTAGATGTTTATTGGGTGGCAGAATACAATTTACTTTCCTGATTTCCAAAAAACATACCAACTGAAAGGAACCAAGACAAACAAAAACCATGCAAGGAGTAACACTAGGAAACCAATAATACAGTTTGGATCACAGGATTAGATTCATCAAGAAACTGAACTAATAATAATCCTATAATAATGATTGCATTTGATATAGTGCCTTACACATCGTTGAGACATCTCAAAGCGCTTCATAGGATATACTGTAAAGTGAAGTGACTATATTTTGTAGGTAAAATATATACACAGGAGAAATTTATCAGCTTTTAATAACAAACTAGCTTCTAATGCAATAGCATGTTGGACTGTGCTCAATTTTAAAAAATGCTATTCCCTCCCATCAACTAAGGAATTGAGGTTTTAACAGAAGTCTATATAAAAAAAACACAGTAAATGGAAACAACTCACATCTCTGTAAACCCGGTTTTGAAATGTTATGCATTTTTATCGCTACTTTTTGATTTCTGCCCCACAACTACCTCTTCATTCATATCACTAGGCAAAGTAACCATTTGTATTCTTACTTATCCTGATGCAAACACACATGGAAAGGTAAATAATTGCTGGAGAACTGCAGCTAAAGGATTTGGAAAAAGCCTAGAGATTTCTTTCAAAAAACATAAGATCACAACTGCTTGTATGGTGATGATCATTTGAGAAAAATGAAAACAAAGCCTTAGGCATCATATAATTATACAGTCAAGAGTTTCAACAGATTTTTCTTCTTAAAAAAACACTCACTATGGCAGATCATATTTTAGGCTATTTGGTGTTTATGTAAAATATAGAATATTTTAAAGAATTTGATATGTAAAATATTTATTTCAACTGCTGCCACAATTGTAAGCAAAGGAGTTAAGTGGGCTTCACTTCATCGTGTTTTTTGATTATAATAATAATCCTTGAATTTGATAATAGTGTCTTATCATGTCTTCGGGACATCTCAAAACTCTTCATAGAATATACTTTAAGTGAATGGACTGTATATTTTGTGCGAGAACCACAGTAGCCAATTGCACATAGTCGTGTCCCACAAACAGTTGTGGATTGAGTGACCAAATTATTATTATTTTATTTAAATATAGATCATCCCTCTTTAATATCAATATCCTGTTAAAAAAAGGATCTATTCACTGGATAAGGTGACAGCAACAGCAGAATTTAAAAAAAAGCATTATTCATGATTTTTTACTGCTGTGTGCTGAGAACTTTACAAAGGAGAACGTAGAACTGAAAAAGGGCTTGATATTCAGAGTAACTGTCTACCATTACTGCTAACAGTAACAGGAAACACCTACTTGGCTGTTACATTGATTCAGGATCTACCTTAAAAAAATATCTGATAGGTTGTTTCCAATTGAAAGCAAGAGTTTCAAATCAGTATTTTAATAAATTAGCAAAATAAGTTCCTCACCTGATTTTGCCCCATACCATGACATTGGTACAAGATGACTTTTTCTCCTGCAACATTGTGTTCATTTGGTGGATTGTAATCAAAGCAGTGGTTTGTCATCCCCTTATTTTTTAGCTGAAAAACCAAACAGATTGACAGGCATTAAGTTAAAATTATGCATCCCCATTTAGGAATAAGCCTTGCTTTAATCTGACTTCTAAAAAACTGAAGAGTGTTTTTACAGTTTGTTAATTTTCTGGTTTTGTACTTGTGAAGTTTGTGTCACATCAATTAATAACTATGTGCATCTATCCAGGCCCTTCACATAGGCTAACATCTCAGAGCACTGTACAGTGGCAGCGTGTGAGTTACATATCAAACTTCTAGAAACAGTTCCAAATCACTGAAGCTACAATCAACACAAATAAATTGAACTTGATACCTAACAAAAACTGAATAGAGAAAAGAACATCCAGCGAACTGATACAAAAATAAATACCAGAGTTGATTCAATTCCTCAAAATAGCTTTCAGCTATTTACACAGAACCACAAATTACTGGATTCAGTATAAAACTAGGACCCAGAACCCTCCAAAACACAAGAACAGCTACTTAAGAATCAGTGAGGTTGAGAATATATCCCTAGAAAAAAAGAATGTGTTGTCCCAAAGCTGTTGATACTGAGCTTTATGAATATATAATATATATATATATATATATATATATAAAACACAGATAAATATCTACTTGGAAACAGCAATGAAAGTTATAGGTTTAGATGCAGACTCAAATTAATACATACTCTATAGGACCCAATGGGTTTTGTGCTTTTGGGAGTGGCAAATCACTAGATAACAAGCTTGGTTTGAATGAGAAGCCCTTCAGCCCATCTGACCTCATCCTTTCAGAACACTCAACCTCCCATCACAACATCAGGCTGCGTCTTAAATGAGTCCAATGTTCCAGCCTCAATCATCTTTCCAGACAGCATGTTATTCACCTTGGTGAATAAATATTGTTCAATTTGTATTTGATTGCTTAGAAACCGTAGAGTATCCTTGTTAGTCCTTATTACTTCAATCCATGACTGTTTGTGGGACACTGCTCTGCTATTTGGCTGCCGCGTTTTGCCTACAAAATATCGTCAATTTACTTTACAGTATATTCTGTGAAGTGCTTTGAGACGTACCAAAGACGTGATAAGGCACTTTATCAAATACAAGGATTATTATTACGTCTAAGCACTACATTATAGAAGGAACATCACTGCTATGGAGAGAGTTCAGTGGAAGTTCACTGGGATGATACTAGAAATGCGATCATGCATAATTATGTAGAGTTGAATTATATGAAACGTTGGGAGTTCTTTTCAGTGGGTCAGAAAAGATTAAAGGCGCATCTAATAGAAGTTTTCTAATACAATTAATTATTTTAATAAGGATTAATCAAAATCTATTTCTCCTGTAAATCAATAAAAAGGCATAAATTGAGGATTATCTCTAGAAGAAAATAGTGCATTGTGTTGCCACAAAGTTAGAGTTACTGAGTCCTTAACAACGTGTAAACGAAAATTGGATAAATGCTTGGAAAAAATATCAAAGGATACGGGGGACAAAGCAGGGGAATAAAATTAAAGTAAGTTGATATCTCTAGTGAGGGAAATGGCATCAATACAGACACAAGGAGCCAAATGCCCTCCCACCCTGCGCTGTAAATCTTCTACGATTCTATATATTTACCATTCCAAAGAATCCTGCTTGATCCTGAGGTACATGGATATCTGGGTAAACATTCTCCAAGAACCACCTGAAACTTTTACACTGTAGCTTCTTTCGTAGATCTAATCGATCTGTCACATCACCATAAGGTTCCTGCAATCAGACATTATGCAAAAGTGAAAATAATAGAAGAGACTTTGAAGAGGGTATATAGTAGAATACAATTTTTTTCTGCTAGTGCACTGCACAGGATCACAGGTGGTTTGGATGAAAAAGGACCTTTGGTTCATTTATCTCACCCTTTCAGAAACTCACCATATTATCTTCCCATTACAACATCAAGCTGTTTCTTGAATGATTCCCAGAGCCTCTCCCACCTGTCCTGGTAACTGTTCTAGCAGTTGATTTTTCTTCAATAAAGAAATATTTCCTGATGTCTGTCCAAGACTTGCTAATCATAAGCGTTCTTTGAAATTGACTAACATTTCCCTGGATCCCTTGTAAACCCGCAAACATTCTGCTTCAGAGGCAATATAACTAAAATACTAAATAACTCAAATTTCTTCTGGTTTTCTGTCCTAATAGATTTGCCTCCATTTTGCTCTGCCGGGGTACCTCTCGAGTAATACCGGTCACCTCTGGGGTTAAAGGGAGACGAGTGGGGGGATTCCCTGTCCCCAGTGACTGGTCTGCCCCTCGAAGTCCTGCCGATGAGCCTGGCTGGCTGGGCTGTCATTAGCAGTTCCTGGAATACTGCAGGCCTGACTGGCTCATGAACCAGACTACCAAGACTGCCACAGCGGGTTGGCTCAATGCTGACATTCCATTGCCAAACATTGCCAGTTCAGCTCCAAAGAGACCCCACTTACCTGCGCCCACCCCCACAAGGAGTTGTTCATTTGACATTGGTAAAGCACAGGTTTGAACTCTCACTAGATGGTGGCAGGTACCAAGAACTCCCTGCGAGCTTCCTGGAGCTAGATGTTACAGGATAACCACTCACCAAACGAGCATGTGGATTCCTGTGAAAATAGAGTTCCTTATATTCATCCATCCAAACAACTGCGGCACGTACACTGTTTGCCAAGGCTTTGCTCCTGGAATAAGGAGCTTGTTTGGGAAAGATGTGGCCAACATGAGAACAGGGATGTATCTCCAAGGTTCCCCCGCACTGCCAAATCTGTAAAACAATTTTAAAAATGTAATCAAATTTCACACTTATTTGGAAGTTTGCAATCAATAACTTATTCTCCCATTTCTCTAATCTAGATTATGTTTTAAGAATCAAGTCAGATTTGATCATTCTTTGTGACTTTCTTTATTAATCTCCCCAAAGATAATCAAATGAGTCCGAGATTTTGCACCTTCGAAAAGGCAGCGCACAATATGCAGGCTATAGAGAGAAGCTATTTTGGATGCAGCTGGAAGAAGTCAGTGTCATCACAAAGCAAATAACCACTGGGGGTGGATGATAAACTGAATTTAAACACTAAAAACCATGATACTTACCCTGAAAGAGAATTCTAGGTTCTCGCCTCCCCACACCTCCATTCCAGTGTCATATGTGCCCAGATATTCAAAGTACTTTTTGCTGACAGCAAACAACCCTCCAGCCATGGTGGGTGACCTGTTAAGATATATTCAATCATTTTAATGACCAACAACAGCAATTCAATTAGATGCAGATTACTTCAAATAAATTTTATGAACTGATTTTGACAAAACTCACATTCGAGATGTCTCAAGGATGTGATAAGGCACTATATCAAATGCAAGGATTATTATTTATCTGTTTAAAGAAATTTTAGCCAGACCTTCAAAAGAACTGCATGATTCTGAGTTTAAACGATCAAGTGGATTTAAATATTATTTCAAGGTCAAAATGTTTAAAATGGTTTTGTACAAAGCACTGGTTAACAAAAATTAAATATGAGTTCAATATTATATTAAACACTTCTACAGCCATTTCAAAACTTCCATATATTTGGATAACATACAAAATAGTCTAATTAAAAATTATGTTCTTTGATTCCAGATGGTGAATTAATACTGAATATTTTATATAGACCACAACCAATCATTATGAAAGGGAATTAAATACCTAATCTTAGTTTTAAAAAAATCTGAACAATAAAGTTTGGTTACAAGTGCGCTGTGGAAGGTCAGCAGCAATGCAACGCAGCTGAGGCACCAGATTGACACAACATTTTGAGCCTGTGAAACACAATTGATAGGTGGTATTAGGTGATAATTCACTTTGCAGTATATTATAGGTGTGCCTAGATGGAACAGGTTTCACTACAAAAATGTACTTGTGCATTCCTATTCAAAGCCCTGCAACGATTTGTCGCTCACCTGATAACATCAATTGGAGATCGCCTACGTTTTTGCTCATGCTCGGGGACTACATGCCAGGTAAACACCAATCTCCAGTCAAAGCCGCCAATCTGAGGCTCTCCAGCATTTCCCAGGTACTCAAAGGTATTCCAATCAATGACGTCAATCACAGGACACACAACAGCACTTTCCTCCTCATCGATTCTGCAGAAGATTCAAATTAAGCACCAGCACAAATTAGATATATTCTTTACATTTACAATTTAATTGAAAGGTTCTTGCTTCACTTAAGTACTCTGAAACAATACCCTGCGTGAGGAGTGCTATAAAGTGATATACAGTTACACATGTTTACATTAAATATATAGTGGTGCATTATTAGAGGCAGGCTTGCAGGCGCGTAAAAAACAATTATTCTTGTATTAGATAATGATATGGATGTCGATGATATTTGAAATCCATAGAATCACATGATTAAACGACAAGTGACTGCATATGCACAAAAAGCCTCTCGTCAAATAAGCGATGATGTGTTTCAAAATGCATTAAAGCTCTTTAACAACTCTCCATGGTGAAAATATGATGGCACATTTTGTAGAGCAACAAAATTGCTTTCAACAGATATTTGGAGTTGCCGTATAGTTTTGGACAGGATTTTCAATTTCAATCTTGATATTTTAAAATTTCAATCTTGATATTTTTAATTTTCAAGTGGGATAATTTGGGAGTTCATACCTCATCATATCTGAACCTGTGACATAGAGAGACAGTATTATACCAATTAATTCAACAAAGTCAACAGATTAATTGTCACTTTAAATAAAGTATTCCAACTAATCTATTTGTAGTTTAGTTGTATTTCATCCAACATTTAATGTCATCATGGTTACTTGACATGCAAGTTCCAAACTTGAGTGTGACCCTACCTTTCCAATAGTGGCTCCAGCCAGCCTATATGGCATTCACAGTGGCAGTCGAGGAATGTCAAGACATCACCTGTTGCTATAGATGCACCCAGCAATCGTGCACGAACCAAACCTTCTCTCTTTCGTGCACGGATCAGACGTACTTTGCGAAGAGAAGCAATGTAGTCTTCTAAACGTTGTTTTAGGTGTTCTATTGAAACAAAAATTGGTGGAACAGAATCCATAGACAGAATCCATAAATCTGTAGTTAAATCTAACTTATTTGCAGTAGTTAAATTTGAGTATTTACATTTATATGTAGTGCCTTTCATATTGGGAAGCATTGTGGCACTGTATTTATATTTACATTCCTTTTTCATTCTCCAAATCATTTCAACTCTTAGTACTTGAATGTTATCCCTAAAAAGCTAGAACGCACATTTACAAGACATGCTACAAGCTCTGATCCATAACAGCATACTATTACAGTTTATTGGAACCCTTGCCATACATCACAATCTTTTCTGAGATGCCCAACAGAGTCAGTACAGCTTTGAAGATTTCCTTAATGCTCCGAAAAGTATGTACCAGATGATTAAGGTTAGGTCATAGTGAAACTAGGCTCTATGATAGGGCATTTCCAGTCTTGATTTTCACTTTGAATTATATTAATACTAATATCTTGCCAAAACATTTATGAGGTAATTTCTGCCTTTATCTGTACGTTGGGCAGAAATCAAGATAAAAGCATTCACTGTAGATTGCAACATGAAATCTGATATCCTCTCTGAAGTTTTTATAATGCACATGAAAGTAACATTGGGAAGATAACCAACGATATTTAACAACAAACGTGTACAACATTATGTACAAAGTATAACTGAACTGTAATTGCACTCTTAAAACATTCAGCATAGCCCAAATGTACATTATTGTGGTTTCTATATATACTGTCCTATGAGAGTTTAATACTGGACCTGAGCTGATCACAAATTACTATACTTTTTAATATTGCTGTAAGCATTAAGTAGAATGGTATGGCACTGGAACGAGACGTTCAGCCCGACTAGTCTGTGCCAGTGTTTATACTCCAAACAAGTGAGTTCCACATTTTCACCACGTTCTAATGATAATAATAAATAATAATCATCCTTGCATTTGATATAACGCTTTTCACGTCTTCTAGACATCTCAAAGAGCTTCACAGAAAGACTGTAAGGTGAATTATCTGTATATTTGTGGGTGAAACACGGCAGCCAATAGCGCACAGCAGTGTCCTACAAACAGTCGTTGATTGAAGGGATCAATTTATTATTTTTTTTCTTGAGGGATTATTATCAGGAGTAAGGAAACTTGGCCAAAATTTCACCCTGTCAGGAATCAAACCAGGTCTCTCACTTGCGAGGCAAGTGCTCTAACCACTGAGCTACAGGACTCCACTGTGTGAAGAGATTATTGAAACAGGACTCCACTGTATGAATAGATTATTGAAACAGCTTTTCATTAGTAGACTACAGAAGAACAAAAATTACCCAAGTGTAAAGAATTGCGAAGAATGTATTAAGAAAAAGCACCACACAGATAATGTTGAATTTCACCAAATACTCTGATATATTAAACACATAACATCTGTCATCAGATGAGACGTTAAACTGATTCAGGTGAGTATTATACATTCCATGGCACAATTTGTAAAAAGGGAGTTTCTCCCAGTGTCTTGACCAATGAATTCCCCCAAATAAAATTGACTATGGTTGTTTGTGGGAGTTTGTTTAACATCGCTGTGTGCAAACTGCTGCTTTTCACCCACAAAATATACAATCATGTTAAGGTGTATTTTGTGAAGTGCTTTGAGACATCTCAACAACAAGATCAGGTGCTATTTCAAAGGCAAGGATTAATATTACTATAACATTATGGACCACGACTTTAAATGTTTTCCACAAGCGTGTTTTAAACCCAATGAAGGCTAGCTCAACAAGTTTCTAAACATACCAAATAGCTGTTTCTATACCAGTTCACCACCTAATGAAGTCCTCCATTATACACTGATGCTATACAGTAATTGGGGAGATAATCGAAACAGATTGTTTTAAACTGAAGATGAAGTTATACTTTGAAATCATTATTGGACTTAAACTCAACTGAGTAAAAGATGTGTGTCATTCCAAAAAAGGAAAAAAGCCACCATAAACACAAAGGAAGGAATTAATTGTGACAGTCTGAAAATCTGAAAGCTCTGTAGTCCCTATTGCTTTTGTTAAAATAGACCCCAAAACAATTTCTTATCACAGTAATAGTAAAACAAGAATGTGAACCAAGATATTTAAGCATAGCCCTTTAGAAGCTTTTATACCTTGGAAAACTCTTTGAAGGAGAATCAAGAGAATCCTACTCACTGATCAATGCACTGCCCACTCACTAAACAGTTCTCTGAAAATGATTGATGGCAAAAATGGAAGAAAATCTTGTGCAAATAATCACTAGTCCAGGTTTAATGCCAGCTTCAAGGTAAAGCACAAAATACAGCTGCTGTTCAAAATTACTTGAAATTACATGGAAACAGCTTCTCTAACTCTCTTCAATTTAAAAGACTGTAAAAAGCTTCCATAGAGGTTGATTGTTCATCAATAACCAGTGACTGTAGAAATGGAGAACTCCTGAATCAGTCTCTGTTCAATCACCCCTGGAGAACAAAAGTGGACAAACATCTCTAGCATACTGAAGAGCAAACTACAATACAAACTGAAATAGATAGCACGACTAGCTTCCCAAATGTGTTTTGAGACATGTTCAAGGTGAGGAATCTCACTGGGAAGAAAATTACTGCTGCTACCTTTCTCAAAAAGTGAGGAAGTCTAGAAGGACATAATGCAACTCCGTTTTATTAAAACCAACCACAGATCATCTTCAAGGAATCGATACACAGTCAACCCCACTAAAACAAGTTTGATTACAGTACAAATTCAGTTATAATTGTGGACCCCATTCAATGTTTAGGCATGCAGCAGGCACCCTGGAGTGTGCAGCAAACAGGAAGGGACATTGGCAGTGGCCAAATGACCTCAAACTCAAGCATTTTCTTTGTTTATCTTGGGAACACATACCTACATTGAAACCAGCTGTCACTCCTCACTAGGATATTGTGGATCTCATCAATTGTGTTACAACAAGGTTCTCCTTTATAAAACATTTCAGTGGAGACCATACCGCTACATTTCAGATTTTGTCCTTTTCCGATCAGGTACTCCACAAACATAGAGTACCAATTTGTAAATTCCATAATCTCAGACTAGTTTATAAGGATCTAAACCCATTTGAAAAAAATTGTTCTCAGAAATTTCTAGAGAAACCTCAAGAGTTCCCATCAATTACGCGAAACACAATCCCACAATTCGGCTGAATACCGAAGTTAATTATTACACACAATAATAATAAACTTTGTATTTGATATAGCGCCTTATCACGGACAGCAGCAGCCAAAAGGTTAGACCACCCTGGCTTATATCATTACTAGAAATTTGAAAGTCACAGAAACATCCAGTTACACAAAGTGAAGAATTGTACAGTGTTTTAACCAATGTTTTTAAACCATTCTAATCCTTAAAGACACTACGTTAATTGTTTTCCTCGGACTAAAATAAATCATCTGTTATATTCTATATAGTAAAGCAGACAATAACAAGAGACCAAAAGATCCTACAAAACTTGGTATAAAAGGTCCGCTAGTAGGGAGTCAGTGAGGTGGAGACTAATTAATGTATATTCTACTTTCTCTGGGATTTGAACACAAGTGTGAGGATCTTGAAGTGTCATGCAGGCTCAACTACGCAAACTCCCTGCTTGTCGGCCTCCCCAACTCCTCCCTCCACAGGCTGCAGATACGCCAGAACTCTGCAACCCATGTTCTCTTCCGCACTAGGCTCCGCGACCCCATCACCCCCATTCTCACCCGACTCCACTGGCTTCCCATCACACAGAGGATACACTTCAAGATCCTGGTCTTCACCTTCAAAGCCCTCCATGGGCTTGCTCCCCTCTGCCTCTGCGACCTCCTAACCCCCTACTAACCTGCCCTCTGCTCAGCAGGCTCTGACCTGCTTTGCGTCCCCTCCTCGTCCACCCCACTATTGTCCGGGCCTTCTGCTTCTCTGCCCCCATCCTCTGCAATTCCATTCCGCAGTTCCTCCGCCTTGGCCCCTCCCTTACCACCTTCAAGACCCGTCTCAAGACCCTCCTCTTCAACCGTGCCTTCGGTCACCCTCCTTCAACCCAGGCCCTCCACCCTCCCTGATCCGGACTCCCAGCTTGGGTCTGAAAAACTGATTATTCAGCGCCTTGGGACATTCTCCCAACATGAAAGGCACGATACAAATGTCATTTTGTTGTTGTTGTTTACTATTTAAATTGAGAAACGGGGCACCCAAATCATTTTTGTTATTTTTGGGTGGTTTAATAATAATAATCCTTGCATTTGATATAGCACTTTTCACATCTTCTCAACGTCTCAAAGCGCTTCACAGAATATACTGTAAAGTGAATTGACTGTATATTTGTGGGTGAAATGCAGCAGCCAATTGCACACAGCAGTGCCCCACAAACAGCGGTGGATTGAAAATGACCAATTAATTATTGTGTTTTGTTTTGGAGGGATTATTATTAGGCGTGTGGAGTAAAGAAACTTGCCCAAGGTTTCACCCTGTCTGGAATTGAACCCTGGTTTGTACTTCCCTGGGGATCAGGAGAAATGCACAAAATCATCGTGGATGGAAAGTTCAGAATTTGAAGGTACCAAATGTCGCTTTTATGTGCAACAGGATATGCAGCACATTTCTGCTATAGATAAGAAACTATTGAAATTTTGCCCTATGCCAAGTTTGTAAGCGCTTATTATATCCGTCAACAATTGTAAGCTCTTGAAAACACTAAGCTCAGTGTTTGAAAGCAATGGGTTTGGACATTTTAAGCATCACTTTGTTATCATTGGTACTTGCAGCACAATGATCCAATTCCAGTTTGGATAAACAAACATAAGTGGGGGGATTTGACTTCCATACACAGCACAGATTGGTGACTAACTTAACATTATCAGAATAACAAAATTAACTCTAATCCAGTATGTCCCTTTAGAAAAAACCTGCCGACAGTACTAGTGCAGAATATTTCTTACAGTGTATGCAGAGTATTCAGAATGAGGTAAAAGTGAATCGTTATTGTGAAATGGTGCTAATTCCCTAGAACAAATAAAGGAGGAGAAAAATCTTTATTACAGAAATAATAGTATCTGGAAAGCTCTTTCAGAAAAAGACTAATATTTCCATATCAGTACCACTTACACAGTCTTGACTATGTTTTAAGACAAAGAGTTGAAGAGCAAAAACAAAATACAAACGTCAAATATTACAACTGAGGCCTCAACACTTGAAAGTAAAAAATACTTGAATGAGTACTACCAATTTAACCACCGTGGAGCTGAAAATGCATTAATAAACATTTTATTAACAGAGAATTTTAATAACAAGTGACAAGTTGTACTGACCTCGATCACTGTAATCATCCACTATGATGATTTCCTTCAGCAGAATATCAGGTGAAGTGTCGAGAACGCTGTGAACTGTGCGTAGAAGTGTTGACCAGGCCTCATTATAAAATGCTATTACCACTGAAGTGGTTGGAAGGTTGTTATAATCATATGTCTTCTCTTTGCACCTGGATATAACACAAAAATTGTATTAACAAGATGCAATATAGAAGGGGAGCTGGGGTACATGCCGGAAACAAAATAACCTTGTGGACTCGAGTGGAAATAACCACCAACATAGACTGTTTCCGAGCTATACAGTCTTTGCAAATCTGTGTAAAACAGGTACAAATTCCCATAGCAATGAAGGAAAATGTATGCCATCCTGCTTTGCCCTATCCCAATTCACATTACAGTCTATTCTGTGAAGCGCTTTGAGACAGCTCGAAGACATGAAGAGCGCTATATCAAATGCAAGGGCTATTATTATTATGACAGACACCCGGATGACCAAAACAAAAGTATGCACAAAGTGAACAAACTATAAATATTGCTCCACATAATTTAGACTGCGGTGAATAAAATCAAAATGTGTACTCCAAGATTGTAGCTATTTAAATGAATGGTAATGGAATACCTGTGATATATAAAAAGCTAAAATTCCCACTCTAACTTACTCAATGGCATTCCCCACCTATCACTTGAGTTGAATTGCATAATATGGATTTAACCCCACTTTCACAGTCGTATGACCATGAAGCGGCAATCATATTTTTACAAACACTTTCTTATTTCTTTTTAATAAGAAAAAAGAGACTATTTATATGAACAATGGATTACCTTTGTAAATATTGTACACTCATCTTAGATTAGTCCAAAAGACACGTTAGCAGCTGCACTGTTGAATTTTCAGTTCTTGAAGGAGGGCTAAGTGGTAACTTGACACACTAAGACATTGCAGCATAAACCAAGCTTGTTGAGCTATTCTTAGTAAGGCAGAAGCCTTCGATCAGGTAGCCAGTTGATCAACTTTCTTTGTTGTTGCATCTGTTTCAGTCCATGCTTCACCTTTTAGATATACTTTTGACAGCATACCCACTTATACAAGGTGACCAAAGCGTTGTGATACCTTTACAATGTCTAATAAGTCTTAAAGAAATTATGATTTTTTTTTTTTAGATAATAGGATAGATATCACAACTTTTTGGTCAACCTGTATTTATAAATGACCCATTGAGATCACTTATGTTCTCCAGAGATGAATCTTCCACACTTATCTGTCAAACATGTAGAAAATGTTCAAGTGTATTTGCCCAATATAGATTTTCCAATGTTCACATTGGAGGCGGTTACGCTTTAACAATAATTTGTACATTCAACCCTGCAATCTTACATTACCAAATTTTGAACCAAAACCTTCTTAGCAGTACATGCATCAGCCTGATATTGTAATACAAGGTGTCTGTGTAGACTTTGCAAGAAGCCATCAAAGGATTGTGCACAAGTGATTTTTCTTTGGGCTATTCCCACTTGTTGACTCAGTTAAACTAACTTAGTATATATTGTGGGACACATATAATGCTGGGGCCCATAAAATCTCAATCAGAGCTTGCACTTGCAAATAGGAAATGGAAGGCTCTATTGGCATTTAGAAACACTCACTGGTGCATAGGAAACAAAGTGGCTGACTTCCAGCTCGTCATGTTGCTGCCAAAGGCACTTCCTGCACCCTGCAGAAATTGATATCAGTGGCACTCCAATGACCTGGAAATCGACCAATTTGGCTTCATGTATTTCAGCCAGCATTTTGAAGCTCCACAATGTGGTTGTGGATTTTTTGGGTGAGTAAATGTCAGGGTCCACACGCCAAATGCATTATAAGCAAACATGCATTATAACAAAGTTCTGCTTTATATGTATAATTCCTGAAGAACTTACTTTAAAGGGCAATTATTAGAGTATATTTTTTGTACAGTCACCTCAATTATATCAGAAAACTGCCTCTGATGGTATATATTGTCCCATGGTTTGAACTTGGACAGCAAGTCAAAAGTATAATTTCTGAGGCACAACTCTTCCCATATATTAAAAATTCTAGGTAGAGGTTTCTAAAATAATGTTTTCATAGCATTCATGCAAAGATAATCAAAATAAGTAATGCAGTGAAAATTCTCTGCAGTGATAAAACAAAATTCCGTCACCACACTGATGATCTCTTCTAATCATCCCAACTTATCTTATGCTGCTGATTGCACTCTACATTTAATTTCCTTCACATTGCACACACAAACTTCAGTCCTCTCAAAGCATAATGGCTGAACAAATGGAGCTTGATCGCCATGTCCTTTATTAAGACAATGACAATCTTGTTTCTTTCAGTTCCAAAAATCTCTTCATGTCTGTTTGTGGGACATTGCTTAATGGAAATTGGACGCTGTATCAAAGACAAGGATTATTATTATATAAATGCAAGTTGTTGGGGTTTAGTTCAAGGCATTTAAATGTAATATTACTTAATGTCTTCCTTAAGATGGGTTATTGACCATATAAATGGACAGTAATAACCAACAACAGAGTTCATAATGGGCCTGTAATACTACAGAGTTTGTGTTGCTTTGATGTGGTTCACATCAGACCAGAGAAAAATCTGTAGTTTGACTGTAGTTTAGGATCACAATTCTAGTTTAGAGTAACTGTGCATGAGCACTTCAAGGAGGCAATCTCACACTGTTTCAACTATGCATTGGCAGTCAGGGAAAAGCAAGTATCTTCCTTCACTACTAGCAGAAGAAAACAAACTCTACATTTAAAGTTTATAATCTTCATGGGCAGAAAATTATCAACATTGTGTGGTGAGAATGCCAATGGCATCCTCACTACACCGAATTCAACATGTCTATCACCCCAGTCCTTGCCAGACTCCCTGGCTTCCAAGGGGAGCCAGTTCTCATCCTTTCTTTTCTAAATCCCATCATGTCCTAAGCACCTCACTGAGCTTCTCCTACCCCACTCTTCTGCTCACATTTCCTCTGCCTAACTTGTGCCTGCTGAGCATTCCCTGCAAAACCATCAGTGGTCTAGTCTTCAGTAGCTACCCCACTAACCTCTGAAATTCCTTCCTTCTACTGCTCTGGCTCGCCCCTTCTCCATCTGCCTTTAAATCCTTTCTAAAATCCCATCACTTTGATTCTGCCTATGATCATCACCCCGCTCCCCGCTCAATGTTCAACTCTGTATTTGTGAAGCAAGCTTTAATGAAGAGAGCTACACAAATGCAAGTTGATGTTGTGGTCCTCTTCCTCACCAAGCTCCGTGACCCTATCACCCCCATCCTTGCCCAGCTCCACTGGCTTCCCATCACTCGGAGGATACAGTTCAAGACTCTGATCCTCACCTTCAAAGCCCTCCACAGCCTTGCTCCTCCATAACTGTGACCTAACAACCCACCCTACCAACCTGCCCGCTCCCTCCACTCAGTGGGATCCAGTCTGCTTCACCTCCCCCACCTTGTCCACCCCACCATTGGTTAGCGGGCCTTTAGCCCCTCTGCCACCACCCTCTGGAACTCCATCCCACAGTCCCTCTGCCCCGCCCCCTCCCTTGCCTCTTTCATGGCCCGTCTCAAGACCCTCCTCTTCGACCATACCTTCGGTCACCCACCTACCCCTACCCTTCCCACCCTCCACAAGTGTCCACCACTACTTCTCCCCCAAGGCTGCTGAGCCCCTCATCCATGCCTTCGTGGCCAGGCTTGATTATTCTGCACTGCACTGCTCACCACTTTCCCGCTCTTCCCTACAGAAGATGCCGACCAACCAGAACTCTGCAGCCCATGCCCCCTCCTGTACCAGGCATCACAAGCCCATCAATCACCCCATCCTTATTTAGCTCTACTTGCTCCCCAACCCCCAGTGGATTAAATTTAAGATTCTCGTTTTCAATACCTTCACAGCATCACTCCACATTACCTCCAGTATCTCCTGTGACCCAACTGCCAATCAGACACCGTCATGCAGTTTTATGTTCCCCTCCCAATCCACTGGTGGACAAGCTTTCAGACATTCTCCACCCACATTATGGAACTCAATTCCTGAATTCCTCCATCTTACTCCCTCTCTCTTTGCCCTCAAATTCTGTCTTAAGACCTATAAATTGAGGTGTCACTCACTCTCACCTCTGAGTAGGAAGGCTGTGAGTTCAAGAGCACTGTCAGGACTTTGAATTTGTATAGTCTAAGCTCAATGCAGTGCTAGAGATGTGCCACTTTGTTTCAAAAGCTATCCTTCTGATAAGACATTAAACCAAGGTCCTATATGCCTGTTCAGGTGGACATTATAGATCCCATAGTGCTATTAAAAAGAGAAGGGAGTTTCTCCCGATGTCTTGATCAACAATCCCTCAAATAAAATTGGTCACTCACTCCATAGCTGTTTGTGGGACAATGTGGTGCGTAAATTGTCTGCAGCCCCACAAAATACACACTGCCTCAATACTTTACAGCAGGGTGGTCCAACTGGCTGCCCGCAGGCTGCATCTGGCCCAGGGGATTTAATCTGTCTCACAAACTATTTCCAACGTCAGTGTCTGAAGAGCAAATACAGGCGACACGCAGGCCTCGAGCCAATCTAGAGACGGTTAAAGGGGGCTCAGGCTCTCCTGACAAACCAGACTGGCCAATCGGGATAAAATATTTCTTGTGGCGGCCTGCAGGTGTTTCTCAAATCCGGCATCCAGCCCTCAGCAGCCAAAAGGCTGAACCACCTGTCTTACCCATTGTGTTTCACTCACAAAATACACAATAATCCACTTTACAATATATTCTGTGAAGCACCTTGATAAGTTTCAACAATGTGATAAGGTATCAAATGCAAAGATTCTTATTATATATCCTGTGAAGCTCTTATTTTGTATATCTTTCTAAGCTTTTAATCTCCTTCTTTACTCCTCCCCCACCCACGCCCCCCCCCCCCCCCCCCCACACCCCAGATTCAGGTTCACACTCAGGTGTGTGAAACACATTGTCCCAACATGAAAAGGGGCTACTGTATATAAATGCAAATAGTTCTTGTTCACAATTCAACTGAGCCATTGAAGGACTTTATCCAGAAAATCCTACTGGAGATTGACAGCTCACTTAAAATCCATTGCTGCCTCAAAGTAAATACGGCTACATGCCAGACCCTCGCAACTGAAATTATCCTGTCGAGACCAAATGTTTTGTAGTTTCTATCACAAAAGACAAAAAGAACTTTTTCTCCAATATAAATACTCCAGGATGGATGCCAAGATTTAAATGAGATTTACCAATCACAAAGAAATACACCGAATAAGCCATCTGTTTACTTTTCTCTTCTGTTACTAAAGTTACTAAGATATATATCACACACGGGTGACGTCTGCAATGGTTACCACCTTTGAACAGACCTCGCCCAGAGCTAACAGGAACATTTAGATACACCGATTGTCTGAAATGAAATGCAGTGTTACATACGGGAAAAATATTGAAACCACATAAATTAGTGTGTTACAAATCATTAAATTAGTATTGTGATTGAAACCAATTTTTTTCTAGAAAGTGGTACACATGCCTCCAGAGAATAAATGGGTATTAGATAATAATCCTTAGTAACAGTTGTGTCAGGAGAACTTCACAGGGTTTACTATGAGGTGTAATAACTGCATTTTGAAGGTGTGCTTTGTCAAAAAAGTATGGCTTTAGAAAACATGTAAAACACCTACTGGTGTCTCTCTCTTACAAACCTACAAAATTCAGGCACAATATGACTATCTTCTTGTCAGAAATTTTGGATAGAAAATAAGTCAGATTGCAAGGAGAGAAAGAAAGTGAGATTTTCAGTCGTAGCATCCTCGATTGCTTGTTTCATGTTGACACTCCCAACATTTGATTACACATCCAAATACAATACTATATATTTCTGTGGTTTTTTTTTTTGCACTTTAGTTAATCAATTCTTGTCTAGGCTAACATGGAAAGCACGTGTGCAGAAATTGAAATCTTAAAGAAAACTAAGAGCTTCAATAGTCCAGAAAGCTTATCATCAACATTATCATCACCAATTTCAATAGTCTAAAATGCTTATGTCCACCCAATAATGGATGGAATACAGTAAAGCCGTGTTTGGCCCATCTTTTGCCATGGGCTCCAGGACACTCCAATGCTATGTAAACCAATGAACTTTATGAACATTTAAATTGATTGCAGGTATGACTTTCTGAAGCAGTGCAATATTTATCTGTGCAGAAATATCTCCTGGTTCTACTTTTAACTAGCATACCTCTAATGTTAAGATTCTGTCTCTATATTCTGTCTTGTCAACTAGAATAGTCTTCTATCTATTCCCTTCATTACTTTAAGCACCTTAATCAGATTAGATTTGCATGTCACTGCTCAGTACTCTGCTGTGGATTTTTGACCTGCATTACGCTTAAAGTATTAGTCATATAAAAATTGACTAACCATATGGTGTTATTATTAAGGTTATTTAACTTTGGGCAGGATATTTTTCAGCCCCTGCTTATGATAATGTATATCAATTAAATATAAGATGATGTGAGATAAATTACATACAAATGTAATATTTATTGTATTTTATATCCAAACCAACTATTTGTAGAATACAAAAGTAAATGTATTTTTAAAAATCCTGGTCCGATGTACAATTAGATTTATGTTATAATAATAATAATAATCCTTGCATTTGATATAGCACTTTTCACGTTGGGAGGACGTCCCAAAGCGCTTCATAGAACACACTGTAAAGTGAATTGACTGTATATTTTTTGTGGGCGAACGCGGCAGCCAATTGCGCACAGCAATGTCCCACAAACAGTCGTTGATTGAAAATGACCAATTTATTATTGTTTTTGGAGGGATTATTATTAGGCTCTGTGTGGAGTAAGGAAACTTGCCCAAGGTTTCGCCCTCTGCCTGGAATTGAACTCAGGTCTCTCACTTGCAAAGCGAGTGCTCTAACCACTGAGCTACAGGACTCCACTGGTTATGGTATGTTCATTAACAGAAACTTTCACATGAGTAACTTTCACAAACTTCTCTTCTCTCATGAATTCTTAGTGCCTTTCATTACCAGATGGCGCAGGACAGCAGATTTATTTGATTTCCCCCCTTATCCTTTCTATTCCAGAAGGAAAATAACTTGTGTTATTATTCTTTCCATCGGGCTATTTGGGTCATGGAATCAGCACAACTGAGCTTTCCCTTATCCTCACTCCGCGTGTTCAACCGGAGTCACCAGATAGCCGATCAGGAACAGGAATGCGGACCACCTGCCAACTGGGGCAGCACTGCGAGCAATCCCTTCCCACTGCTGCCCGAGCACAGAGCTCTGTGTGTGTGTGTGTGTGTCAGTGTCTGGTACTCACAGTGGATTCCACCTCTCCGGCAATCGGCGGCGGAGGGAGATTTTGTCGCTGAGATAAGTATTAATTTGATGTTTGCTGATACTTTCCTCCTCCTTCACCCTCTCCTCGCCTCCCAGGTGCAGGTGCACGGCTCTGCCCAGCTCTCCCAGCGCCTTCACATCCAGGGGAGGCTTCTCATACACCGGCCTCTTGAGCAGCTCCTGCTCCCGACCCCCAGACTGCGGGCTGTCAGCCGCCCCCCGGCGCCCACTCTCCTCCTTCCCCTTCTGGCTCTCAGCCTTTCTGGGGAACAGCAGGAAGCCCAGAGCCGCCATCCCGCAAAGCAACAACAGTACAGTCTTGGCCCGGCGCCGCCTGCCCAGCGCCATGATGCTGAGCTGAGAGCGAGTCACCCACACGGGAACCTTCACTCAGTCCCTCGCCATCGCCATCGCCGCTCCGCTCCGGGACAGAAACAAAGTTTGTCGGCAGCCCCGGGCCCAGCCCCGGGCCGGGCACTGCTCCATGGCGCCGCCTCAGCCCCGCTTCCTGACGGCAGGAGGACAGGAAAGACTGTACTTTTCTGGGCTTTTCTTGGCTGCGCGCCCGGGGCTGAGCCTGAGCCCGGGATGGCGGCTCTCCCTCCCTCCCCTGGACTCTCGCGGGGTGAGTGGGGGTGAGTGGGGGTTGCTGTCCCCGCGGCCCGGGCTCTGGCTGTGCCTCTCTCCCGCCGCCCGCACACACTTGTTGAGCCGCTCTCCTGATGACCGGAAGCCCCGCCGCCGCCGGCACCTGGAGACCGACCACAAACCGGAAGCGACGTGGTTACCAGGCAACGCCCGACTCGTGCTGCCCGTCAGCCCCGAGCCCCCCAGGACCCCAACCTGTGCCTGTCACTGTGTGTGTGTGTGTGTCCCTGTCACTGTGTGTGTGTGTCCCTGTCACTGTGTGTGTGTGTGTGTCCCTGTCACTGTGTGTGTGTGTCCCTGTCACTGTGTGTGTGTGTCCCTGTCACTGTGTGTGTGTGTCCCTGTCACTGTGTGTGTGTGTCCCTGTCACTGTGTGTGTGTGTCCCTGTCACTGTGTGTGTGTGTGTGTCCCTGTCACTGTGTGTGTGTGTGTGTCTCAGTCACTGTGTGTGGGTGGGTCTCAGTCACTGTGTGTGTGTGTCTCTGTCACTGTGTGTGTGTGTCTGTCACTGTGTGTGTGTGTGTGTCTCTGTCACTGTGTGTGTGTGTCCCTGTCATGTGTGTGTGTGTGTCCCTGTCACTGTGTGTGTGTGTCCCTGTCACTGTGTGTGGTGTGTCCCTGTCACTGTGTGTGTGTGTCCCTGTCACTGTGTGTGTGTGTCCCTGTCACTGTGTGTGTGTGTCCCTGTCACTGTGTGTGTGTGTGTGTGTCCCTGTCACTGTGTGTGTGTGTCCCTGTCACTGTGTGTGTGTCCCTGTCACTGTGTGTGTGTGTGTGTGTCCCTGTCACTGTGTGTGTGTGTACCTGTCACTGTGTGTGTGTCCCTGTCACTGTGTGTGTGTGTCCCTGTCACTGTGTGTGTGTGTGTCTGTCACTGTGTGTGTGTGTCCCTGTCACTGTGTGTGTGTGTGTGTCCCTGTCACTGTGTGTGTGTGTACCTGTCACTGTGTGTGTGTCCCTGTCACTGTGTGTGTGTGTCCCTGTCACTGTGTGTGTGTGTGTGTCCCTGTCACTGTGTGTGTGTGTCCCTGTCACTGTGTGTGTGTGTCCCTGTCACTGTGTGTGTGTGTCCCTGTCACTGTGTGTGTGTGTCCCTGTCACTGTGTGTGTGTGTCCCTGTCACTGTGTGTGTGTGTCCCTGTCACTGTGTGTGTGTGTCCCTGTCACTGTGTGTGTGTCCCTGTCACTGTGTGTGTGTGTCCCTGTCACTGTGTGTGTGTGTCCCTGTCACTGTGTGTGTGTGTCCCTGTCACTGTGTGTGTGTGTGTCCCTGTCACTGTGTGTGTGTGTCCCTGTCACTGTGTGTGTGTGTGTCCCTGTCACTGTGTGTGTGTGTCCCTGTCACTGTGTGTGTGTGTGTCCCTGTCACTGTGTGTGTGTGTCCCTGTCACTGTGTGTGTGTGTGTCCCTGTCACTGTGTGTGTGTGTGTGTGTGTCCCTGTCACTGTGTGTGTGTGTCCCTGTCACTGTGTGTGTGTGTTCCTGTCACTGTGTGTGTGTGTCCCTGTCACTGTGTGTGTGTGTCCCTGTCACTGTGTGTGTGTGTCCCTGTCACTGTGTGTGTGTGTCCCTGTCACTGTGTGTGTGTGTCCCTGTCACTGTGTGTGTGTGTGTCCCTGTCACTGTGTGTGTGTGTCCCTGTCACTGTGTGTGTGTGTCCCTGTCACTGTGTGTGTGTGTGTCCCTGTCACTGTGTGTGTGTGTCCCTGTCACTGTGTGTGTGTGTCCCTGTCACTGTGTGTGTGTGTCCCTGTCACTGTGTGTGTGTGTCCCTGTCACTGTGTGTGTGTGTGTCCCTGTCACTGTGTGTGTGTGTCCCTGTCACTGTGTGTGTGTGTGTCCCTGTCACTGTGTGTGTGTGTCCCTGTCACTGTGTGTGTGTGTCCCTGTCACTGTGTGTGTGTGTCCCTGTCACTGTGTGTGTGTGTGTCCCTGTCACTGTGTGTGTGTGTGTGTCCCTGTCACTGTGTGTGTGTGTCCCTGTCACTGTGTGTGTGTGTGTGTCCCTGTCACTGTGTGTGTGTGTCCCTGTCACTGTGTGTGTGTGTGTGTGTCCCTGTCCCTGTGTCAGGGTGTGTCGCTGTCTCTGTGTCAGTGTGTGTCCCTGTCCCTGTGTCAGTGTGTGTCCCTGTCACTGTGTGTGTGTGTCCCTGTCACTGTGTGTGTGTGTGTCCCTGTCACTGTGTGTGTCCCTGTCACTGTGTGTATGTGTGTGTGTCCCTGTCACTGTGTGTGTGTGTGTGTCCCTGTCACTGTGTGTGTGTGTCCCTGTCACTGTGTGTGTGTGTCCCTGTCACTGTGTGTGTGTGTCCCTGTCACTGTGTGTGTGTGTGTGTCCCTGTCACTGTGTGTGTGTGTGTGTGTCCCTGTCACTGTGTGTGTGTGTCCCTGTCACTGTGTGTGTGTGTGTGTCCCTGTCACTGTGTGTGTGTGTGTGTCCCTGTCACTGTGTGTGTGTGTGTCCCTGTCACTGTGTGTGTGTGTCCCTGTCACTGTGTGTGTGTGTCCCTGTCACTGTGTGTGTGTGTCCCTGTCACTGTGTGTGTGTGCTGTCACTGTGTGTGTGTGTCCCTGTCACTGTGTGTGTGTGTCCCTGTCACTGTGTGTGTGTGTGTCCCTGTCACTGTGTGTGTGTGTCCCTGTCACTGTGTGTGTGTGTGTCCCTGTCACTGTGTGTGTGTGTGTCCCTGTCACTGTGTGTGTGTCCCTGTCACTGTTTGTGTGTGTGTCCTGTCACTGTGTGTGTGTGTCTGTCACTGTGTGTGTGTGTGTGTGTCCCTGTCACTGTGTGTGTGTGTGTCCCTGTCACTGTGTGTGTGTGTGTCCCTGTCACTGTGTGTGTGTGTGTGTCCCTGTCACTGTGTGTGTGTGTGTCCCTGTCACTGTGTGTGTGTGTGTCCCTGTCACTGTGTGTGTGTCCCTGTCACTGTGTGTGTGTCCCTGTCACTGTGTGTGTGTGTCCCTGTCACTGTGTGTGTGTGTGTCCCTGTCACTGTGTGTGTGTGTCCCTGTCACTGTGTGTGTGTGTCCCTGTCACTGTGTGTGTGTGTGTCCCTGTCACTGTGTGTGTGTGTCCCTGTCACTGTGTGTGTGTGTCCCTGTCACTGTGTGTGTGTGTCCCTGTCACTGTGTGTGTGTCCCTGTCACTGTGTGTGTGTTCCTGTCACTGTGTGTGTGTGTCCCTGTCACTGTGTGTGTGTGTCCCTGTCACTGTGTGTGTGTGTCTGTCACTGTGTGTGTCAGTGTGTGTGTGTCTGTCACTGTGTCTGTCACTGTGTGTCACTGTGTCTGTCACTGTGTGTGTCTGTCACTGTGTCTGTCACTGTGTGTGTCTGTCACTGTGTGTCAGTGTGTGTGTCTGTCACTGTGTCTGTCACTGTGTGTGTGTGTCTGTCACTGTGTGTGTCAGTGTGTGTGTGTCTGTCACTGTGTGTGTCAGTGTGTGTGTCTGTCACTGTGTCTGTCACTGTGTGTGTCTGTCACTGTGTCTGTCACTGTGTGTGTCTGTCACTGTGTCTGTCACTGTGTGTGTCTGTGTCACTGTGTGTGTCAGTGTGTGTGTGTGCGTCTGTCACTGTGTGTGTCAGTGTGTGTGTGTGTCTGTCACTGTGTGTGTCAGTGTGTGTGTGTGCGTCTGTCACTGTGTGTGTCAGTGTGTGTGTCTGTCACTGTGTGTGTCACTGTGTGTGTGTGTCTGTCACTGTGTGTGTCAGTGTGTGTGTCTGTCACTGTGTGTGTCAGTGTGTGTGTGTCAGTATGTCTGTGTGTGTGTATGTGTCAATGTGTGTGTGTCAGTATGTGTGTGTGTATTTGGGTGTGTCTGTGTGTTAGTGTGTGTGCCTGTGTGTGTGTCAGTGTGTGTGTGTGTATTGGGGTGTGTCTGTGTGTTAGTGTGTGTGTCAGTGTGTGTGTGTGTCAGTGTGTGTCTCTGTCAGTGTATCTGTCTGTGTGTGTGTGTGTTTACCAGTTAGTGTGTTTGTCAACGTGTCAGTATATGTCTACTACTTCATCTCCATAAACGACATCTCCTCCAGCCCCCGATTTGTCTCGTGCAGCGTTCCTCAGGGCTCTGTCCTTGTTCCCCTCCTTTTCAATATCTATATGCTCCCTCTTGGTGACATCCACAGACACGGGGTCAATTTTCACATATACACGAATGACACCCAACTCTACCTCTCTGCCTCCTCCCTTGACTCCAGGACACTGCTGTCCTGACTGAATGTCTGTCAGACTTCAATTACTGGATGAGAGCTAACTCTCTACAGTTGAACGTCAACAAGACCGAGGCCCTCCTGATTGGCTCCCGTCAGCGCCTCCACACCTCAAGTGCTAACAGCATCACCATCCGAGGATGCACACTCCACCTTACTAAGCCAGTCCAGAACCTTGGCGTCTTGTTAGACCCTCAACTGTCCTTTCTATCTCACATCCATGCCATGTCCCACTCTGCCTTCCCCCACCTCCACACAGATGCGCCACTGTCTCACAACGCAGGCCGCCAAAACCATCATACACGCATTCATATCATCCAGGCTCGACTATGCAAACTCCGGCTTGTCGGCCTCCCCACCTCCTCCCTCCATAGGCTGCAGATCATCCAGAACTCTGCAGCTCGTGTCCTCTCCCGCACCACATTTCATGACCCTATCAGTCCCATCCTCGCCCAACTCCACTGGTTTCCCATCACACAAAGCATACAGTTCAAGATCCTGGTCCTCACCTTCAAAGCCCTCTACAGCCTTGCTCCCCCCCTACCTCTGCAACCTCCTAACCCCCTACCAACCTGCCCGCTACCTCTGCATAGCAGGCTTCGACCTGCTTCATGTCCCCTGTCCTGCCCGCCCCACCTTCTGCCACTTTGCCCCCACCCTCTGGAACTCCATTAATCAGTAAATCTAGTTAGGACATAATCATATTTTAGGGCCAGTTACCAGGCCATGAGTAATGACTATCACCAGTCCTATATTATGATTCCAGGAATGCCATGATGATAATGAGCAGGTGGTTGTTATGTTGGTATGTTGTGAATGAGAGAATGGTTGCTATTGTTGTTAAAATTGGCAGAAGCCACTCAAGGTCCAGTATTTGCCTCCTAGTATGTAACTCTTCTAAAAATAGTTCTTAAACCTGACAGTTACTCTACTTTTGTCATTTTTTAAAAAATTCCCCCCTCTCCCTCAAACTGAAGATGTGACACGTGTGGTTCCACAAGTTTTGCCAATTCCTTCCAGTACTTCACCCATATTGAGAGATGAGATGAGATGTTCCCTGATCTTCAACTGTCCTCAACATTAAGTCTTTACTTGTGCATTTAAGTGATAATGACTATAACAACTTCATTTGAAATCATCACAGAAAATTTAACCTAGCATCTTGTAGAAGTACTGCACCAGGGGCTGTACTTAATCATTACCTAAATGTAAATCATTGCTAAAATTAATTACTGCACCTGTGCCTTTAAATGGGTTTGCGAGAAGTCTCATTGTTCGCAATGCCACACATAACAATAGTTATATTTTTATTTGGTAAGGTGGACTGAAACCCAATTTTCTGTCCTACTGAAATTTTCTGTTCCAGCTGTTATTTTAATAAAACAGCATGTTTACCAAAATAGTTTTAGCTTTCTCTAACTTTAAACTGTAATATTCCAGAAGGAAATAAAGGTCCAACAAGCTTGCATGCTTTAAAAAAAGTATCTATAATTAATGTCACAACTGCACTGTGGATAGGGGGAAGAGGAAAAATTGTGTCATGCTTGCACATATGTCCGGGAATATATTAACTTGGCTTCACACTCAGGCTGTATAGAGCTCTGGTGAGACTGCACCTGGAGTACTGCATACATTTTGGTCACCACAGCATAAGGGTATCCCAGGCCCTAGAGTGCAGAGAGAAGCAATGATGATTCCCCAGAGCTAGAGGAATGAGCTTTGAGCAATGATTAGAGCTGAGGCTCTTCAGTCTTGAGAGAAGACGACTCAGAAGGGACTTCATAGAAGTGTAAAACAACTTTAAGCGGGATTGAAAAAGTAAACCCAGATCAATACTTTAAGACAAGAGGGCATAGGTTTAAAGTTGTAAAGGGCAATTTCAAGACAGATACCAGGACATGTTTCCTTACTCAGAGGGCAATTAACAACTTGAACAGGTTGACAGAGCGATTAAGGCCAGCACACTGGACTGATTTAAAAAGCAGCCTAATGCTATGATGGGTTGAGATCAGATGGCCGAACACATTCTTCATCCAAACCAATCTTGTGTGAAAAAATGGTGCCAATAAATCAGGACAAAATAGAGTGTGCAAGCTCAGGCTCCAAGCTGTCTTTTTTTACTCTTGCTTATTGCCACTTGCTTAGATTTTATTTTGGTTAGCTGGATGTCTGACAAGTGGAAACCCATAACATGCTTAACATATCTAAACCAGACAGAGTTCCAGATATGCCACCTAAACATGGGAATTGCCATGTGTCTTGAGGGAATGCACTCTGCTTACCTAATTCCAGAGTGGCAACTAAGGCTTGTGGACCCTAGAGTGTGTGTTGTGATGCTGCCAAACTTTAACCAAATAAAACCACAAAGCTTGCATTGGAAGTGGCTTTCTGTTGCTTGTCCATCTATGACCCATATCTGTTAATGTTTTAACAGGAGTCAATTGGGAATTCATTTATTGTTTTTCGATTCCCATCTGGCTCAGAAAACTATTGCGACCACTACAAAAGATTGACCTGATTCCAACATTTAATTGCTAAGCATCATAATCCAGATATTATGTTAAAATGAGAAGAAAGTTAAAAACAGGACACCGGGTTGAATTTCCAAAGTGGAGATTTACTCAATTTGTGGCTTCTGTTGGTTTGTTTATAATTATCAATTGTATTGACCAATGGAGTCAATATTCTTGTAACATCATTTAAAATTGGCCAAATATCTTCAAATCATGAAGCACTATGCATACACATGACTAAATGTTCCAACTGCTGTGTTCATCCTTCCTCAAAGTTTACATAGTGCTCGGAGATGATGAACCTGTTCAGGAATGTTTTGCCAGTATTTTGAGCCACACATATACTTATTTAAAACTTTATCAAAATGTTATCAGTTGATTGAAAACATCAGAACTGCCTCTGTATGTAAGCATAACTGTGGCAATTGATGTGTGACACACTTCGATTTCAATGCATCATGGCCTTTGTGGATTATTGGCTTCAATCTAAAAGCAAGAAGTTAATGCAAAATTGATTCACCACAAGAGGACAGCTTTGTTGATCCTCCTACAAGTAGAGCAATAAATAAAGCTGTCTGTCATTGAGTGATTTGGTCTTATGATTCTGTGCACTGAATGTGATACAAGGCATGTCAACAACTTTCCCCAGAGGGACAATCTGTAGGTTGCATTCATACCTTCCTGTAACACAGTATCAAACTTCTTTTTAAATTAATCTGTTCTCCTGAGCTCAACCATCCTTTTGATCTCATTAGTTCAACTATTAATTACCCTCTGTGTAAAGAAATACTTTCTGGTATCCTCCTTAAAATTGCTCTTCATAATTCTGAACCTGTACCTTGTCCTCATGGCCATCTTGGAATATATTCAAGTACTGTTCTATTTTCAAGGCCTGATCCCCAAAAAGGTTTTCTCGACAGTACTTCCTCAAAAGTGCTTTATGTGCCTTTGATGTGAATTTTAAAAAAATGCGAACTCCTTCTTTCAACAAGACAGAACGGATTTGTATAACTTAAAGCTCCAAGGCTACCAATGTTCTCTGAAAACAAATGCTGAAAAGTGTTAACCCAGTGTTGGGACTTCTTCATTCTTATATGAAATAGCATCTGTAATCTGAACCGATTTATCTGCATTCTTTCAGTTTTCATTCATTAATGGCTGCAAAACTTAATTGGCAATGTGAACTAAAGAAAATTAAAAATAAAATGTTAAAGTTAGACAGTTACACCAAGGTTAAAAATATATAAAATATAAAATGTAAAAGTTGAAAACAGAGGACAGAAAGAACAGAAAAAAGATGAGAACCAAGTGACAAGCACAGTTAGAAGTTTTTAATGTTTCATCTTTATTTAAAATTGCCCAGGCTACAGCGTGCGTTCGTAACAGTCTCTTTTTTACAGTCTGTCATATCTCAGTAAAGATCGTCTGATGATATTGATTCACAGAGAAGGGCCTAACTATTTTTACATCTGTGATGGCTAATTAGTATTCTAATCATAAAAGGCATAATTTTGTATCAAGTAAAGCGGAAACATTAACAATTTTGTATAAGATTGCTGATAAAGCCAGTTCATGTCCTAAATGATACTGTAGGCTGTACCCATTTTCAGCAAATCTCTTTGTATTATTACTATAGAATCTTAAAACAGTAGTTTATTGCATTTATTTTTCATTTAGTTCCTTTACCACAGGCATTTCAAAATGTTTTCAGAAAACAATTTAACCTTTTTAAAACCATCTTGTATATCAAAACCACATTTAATTGAGTAAAAAATTGACAAATCTAAATTTCACAAGTAAACAGTAAACTGTAGTTTCATTTGGTAGATTGAAGCCTGCAATCTTTTCCTTTTTGAAAAAACCCCAGAAAAGGCAGGTCACAAAGATTGCACAAATTACAAGGCAGATTGAAATTGGTTAGTTTCACTATCTGAAACAGTGAATTTAAAGAAAAATAAGTCTTCCCTCTTCTCCTGAAGTTGTAGACTTTCCATGTGATATACAATACTTCACTCAAATGGGCATTCTTCAGGTGGGAGCCTAGAGCATGAATGCCAATACAGCATTGGATTGTGAAGGACTCATAACTGAGCCTGATCGTATCTTAATCTAATGTTCACCCACACAACTTTCCAGCAGTGGACATTGCCTAGTAGTGAGAGGTAGAAATCCTGATACTCTCCTGCCTCGACAGGGGCTCTTACAGCAATTCCAGCACTGACCTCTGAGATTGGCTTATGTGTTCAGACCAGGAATCAAATCTGTGACCTCTGTCCTCTACAGCTACCAGGTAATGTGTTTACCCACAAGGCAATCAGGGACATCCAACAGCAGGGATTTCATTTTTGGAGGAAGGTGAACATCTGTATGCAGTCATCAGAAATTACACACAAGAATGACTAGCATTCAAAAACAGGACACAAAATCTTCAATCACCACAAATCTAACCTTCCCATCTCCCACATTCCTTCCTCCCACCAATCCTTTGCCCCCTTCCAAAACCCTGTTTAGGCACAATGGTGACACTTAATTTGCCTTTAGTTTCTATGCATAAATGTTACTTGTCCACTTTACACTAACCATGTTTCACAGAACACAAGTTATACATTTTGTATATTTACTCTAAAAAAATGAGTAGTCCCTTTTATTCAAAATGCCAGATCTGATTTCTATCCGGTGAAATGCAAGGTCTCATCTCCACATCAGTCTTTCCTTCAGGAGTCCGATAGGAAGTAATGCACTTGTTGGATTTGGGGTGGAAGATTGTTCCATCCTGTGAACAAAGTTTAAAAAATTCCCAGTATTTAATTTAAGGCAACAAATTCCCACATCCTCATGAGTGAAAATGTGGTTTTGGTTTCACTTTTAACTGCCTCATCCACTTGATTTAGTATTTTCCCATTGGCAGGAATTCATTCCTTATGTACCTTATCAATTCTGTATTTTAAACATCTCAATTAGAACCCAGTTATAAAGCACATCACAATATAATAATACAGTATCTGGTATAGCGCCTTATCGTGTCGGAAGGTCATCTCATAGAATTCACAGGATTTATTGTGAAACAGAGTGACTGTATTTGTAGGCAGCACAATTGCATAGAGCAATGTCCCACAAACGGGCATGAAGCGAATGTCCAATTTTATTTGGGGGATTATTAGTCAGGACACTGGGAGAAACTCCCTTCTCTTTTCGAATAGTGCCATTGGATCTTTAACATCCACCTGAACAGACAGACAATGCCTCGGTTTAACATCCCGAGTGGGACTTGAACCCACAACCTTCTGACTGACTCATAGGCGAGACTGCTACCACTGAGCCAGCCTGACAAGTTAGTGAGTTCGCATTTAACGTGGGTATCGTTGACCTGTGGTTATCCAGTGTAGTCTAGCCAGCAGTCTAATAAAACACGGCTAACTGCATTTTTGCCCTTCATATTAACAAAGTTGATTGTCTGAGCTGATGGAGCCTGACCATTACGTTGTAACTTGTGGAATTCAGGTTGAACAATCTCTCATCATATCTAAGTACCTTCTTCATCCTAAGTGCCACCCTGGCGAAGTATTGTATGAAATCCTCTAAGGATAATATATTCCTCCAAAAGGTGGAGTGGACAAAACTGAACACAGTTCTCCAAAAGAAGTTTGATCAATGCAGTATAGAACTGCAGTCACACCTTCTTGCTTTCATATTATACACCTTGTTGCAGATCAGAATCTTTAATCTATTTTCTTTGGAGTTGAATGTTTGGTACTTACAGGTTTAAATTCCCATATAAGAGAGTCTGGGACAGGGGTGCTATCTGAGGAACAGAACTTCATTCCAATCGAATTCTGTCTTTCAGTCACTTCTGCACATAGCTCCGTCACAGAATTAAACCGGATTTCCTTTTTGGACGTGTATTCAAAATACTGTTTTTTACAAAAAAAGTAAATATAGTTGTACATTTTAATACATGTTTACAAAAAAAGTTTAACCTGAAATCAATCCATTCATTTTTTTTAAAAAATAAGGTGATTCATATGCATGTATATGAAGAAACACATATTTTATACAAACACACAAGCCCACATCAATCCACAACCCAAGCAGAACCTATGTCACGTCACCATCCACTTCATCCCATCCATCTCATGAGACAAAGCTCTGAATAGACTCTCTGGTCTCCAAAGTCAAAAACATATTCTTTCAATATTACTAGTCAAATCTGGCATCCAAGACTGCATCATCTCCCCCCATCTGCCACCCAGCAACACAGAAATCACTGGTAGCGCTAAATATTTGTTGGAATTTCCAACGATTTCTGTTTAATCTTAATACATTTCAAACAGATCCTTGTCCAGTTTGGTTCTGAAGGAGTTAAACCCATTTCATTATGAATCCTTCAATTCTGCACAACTCTGGAAAGGGAAAATCTTGTAATCTCTTGTCCCGCTTGAGGCTTTTAATTTTAAATTCTAGTTCTGCTCTACTAAAAAAATGTGGGCAAGATAAAGGTACTAAAAATTCTTAAATGTAGGTTTTCAAAGCCACATAATCCAAGACTTAAATTGCAAATACAGGATACACATGAACAAAAGCATTTTTCTGCAAAATCCCTTGTAATGTGGATGAATATTGGCAATTGACTGTATTTTATGAGTCTCCAATCACAAAGCCCACGGCTGGAACAGAATGAATTGTGGCTTGAGCGGCAGCCGATCAGATGGTAGTGTAATAATGTATTTTATTTGACTTACACACACTCAAGCTCGCTCAAGGTGATTGATTCACCAGTGTGATCTGGTGTTTTAGTTCCCTGGTTGTGGTTCTATTGTTACTCCACGAGAACTTTTCTTCTCCTGATTCTGTTTTTGAAATCCATTTCTGTTAAAGATGCTTTCTATAAATTTACCATTTGGCCCCCTCCCCTCATTTTAACGTCTAATTGGAAGGACAGCACCTCCGACAATGCAACATAACCCCAGCACTGCATTGGAGTGTCACCTTAAAATATGTGATTCCAGGTCTCAATATACTTCATATTCTGTGAAGCACTTTGAGACATCTAGAAGACGTGAAAAGCGTTATATCAAATGCAAGGATTATTTATTTACTAAGTTTATATATGTATTTGCGTTTTAGGCGAAGAGGAAATGTTCTTACCTGATTGCCTCCTTGCCCATGACATCCAAATAAAGACAGATGTGCTCCTACAGGACTATGCTCAGGTGCATTGTAATCTAAGCATTCCGAAGAAATTCCTGTGCTACGGATCTATAAAATGTCCCAGTGTTATAAAACATGTATTAGAAGAAATGTACACTGAGTGTGCTCACTACCAGCATTAGGTTCTGTCATATATCCGAAAGGCTAGTGGATGGTCAACATTAGTAGCATAGAAATACTTACGAGTGATCAAATTTGACAACCTTGATACAATAGAAATAATTGCAAGAGCTGGGGTAGTAGTCATAATGTGGCATTATACCTCTAATAAATTCTACATTATATTTACAAAGCATATAATAAAGCCCGTAGATGTATTGATGATGTGGCACTAAATTATAGGTACACCTAATAAATTGCACTTACAAAGCAAACAAAAAGCATACAGGGCTATATTTACCACACCACTTTATTTGTACACTTTACTGAATGACAAACATTAAAGGCCAACTCAATTCCTTCAGAACCCAGACCCAGGCTTCACAGCAGTCAAATATATACCCAAGCTTGAACAGGATATATAACCTCCAATCAGTTTTCCATCGTGAGGACAAACCAATAGCATCCATTACTGCTAACATTTCCCACATTTTAGTGCCTCTTAGCCAAGTGATTTGATTAATTCTCCTGCATATAAACTCAATTGGTGTATTGCACAGGCTCAGAAAGAACAACAATTAATAAACTGTGTGTATACAGAGGTTCATTTCACTTGCAAAGCAAACAAAAGGCATACAGGGGCATATATTACCACACCAATTTTTACACTTTCCTGATATAGCTTGTCCACATACAATATATTTGTTTTCTTAAATAAATCCTTCACTACTGCAATCTCCAATGCACTATTAAGAACCAAAAAGCACACAGATTTAAATAACACCTTTCACGTCTGCATCCCTTAATGATGAGCAGTCAAGGGTTTGCACCTGAGCTACGGTTTGGATTCAAGAGGGGTGGCGACCAAGGGGATTGGGGTGAGAAGATGCCAGAAGGCATGGCCAAAGAGGAAGGTCTTGAGACAAACCTAGGAGCTGAGGGTTGGTGCAAGGCGAAGGAACTGCAGAATGGAGTTCCAGAAAGTGTGGGTAGAAAAGCTGAAGGGCCAACCGCCGATGGTGGGGCAGGCAGGGGCGGGAGACATGAAGCAGACCAGTGGATAAGGGTCTCAGCAGCCCAAGGGGAGTGGTGGAGGCGGGCAATGTTGTGGAGGTGGGAGGAAAACTCAGTGGGTCATGGCATGGATGTGGGGCTTAAAGGACAGTTGAGGGTCAAACAAATCATGGAGGTTCCGCTCTGCCTTGGTGAGGTAGAGTACATCCACGTAGATTGATTCTGTCAACGTCAGAGGTGAGAAGGCGCTGACAGGAACCAAGTAGGAAGGGCTCTTCTTGTCATAATTGAACTGGGGAAAGCTTGCTTTCATTTAGGATTTGATGTCCAACAGGTAATCAGTCACAAAATCAGTCGTCCTGGAATCAAAGGTGGAGGCAAGGAGATAAAAGTTGGGTGTCATCCACATACATGTGGAAGTTAGCGTCATGCATGTGGATAACATTGCCAAGTGGCAGCACGTAGGTATTAAAGTGGAGAGAACTGAGAATAGAGCCCGATGAAGTTAGGTTGTTGTGGGAAGAGGACCAGGAGTTCGGAAGACTTGAGGGCTGTGGAGAGCGAGTGAGGGGAGGACACAGATTTTTTTCCATGTGCGGAAGGAGATGGTTGGGTGGCTAGGAATGTATGGAAGAGTTAAGAGAGATGAAGTATCTTTGCTGTAGGGTTCAGAAAAACAACTCTACACGACATGACTGATTTTTTTGTATTAAAGTAGAGGGTAATCCTGCAGATAATATAAAATTATGCTTAAGTGGTCCTCAAACTTGAGAGCTGCCCTCTGATTCTTTTATTCCCCACTTTTGTTTATTTTGAAAAACATTTACAGGGCTCCATTCTAGAAGGGAGGAGCGTTATTATTGAATACATAATTGAGATATTTAAATTAAACCTGGCATCAAAAAATAAAAGATACATCTGCTTACCGCTCCATGCCAGTTGAGCCGATCATCTGGAATGTGCAACTCTGGGTATACATTATCCAAATACCATTTGAAATTGTTGCACTTTAAACGTTCTCGGAGCAATTTTCTCTCAGAAATATCACCATAGTTTTCCTTAAAGAAAAGAACATTTCAAAATTCCACTTTCCATTTCCCAAAGTTCTTCCAAGATAAACTGGCTCATATATTATCACCAAACTATGTTTTAGTACCACTATAAAAAGTAGTCATCGTTTGCTTATACTGATCTGAAATAGTGCCTTTATACAATATTGTACAAAGGAAGCATACACATACTTCAGTTATAACTTTGTCCAGACTTTACCATCTCAATCGTTTCAGAAAGAAAGAACACTACTTAGCTGTGTTTTAGTCTTTTAAACACATAATTTCCTTAAAGATCTACTATATTACAGAAAAGCTCCACTTAACCCTTAAAATGAAATCATGTAATACCCTGGTTAATCCGGAACGTGACTCAATTTATTGTTTCAGAAGTTTTTTTTTAAAAAAAACTATTAATATTACTATCATGAATCCCTAAATAAACTAACGGACGTTAAACACAGAAGCTTGGCACAGTCAGTAGCACCCTCAACTGTGGGTCAGAAGGTTTGAGTTCACAGTCTGACAGATACTGAAAGGAATAAAAGTTCCTCCCTGTATCCTGGACTTCCAGAATAATTGTGCATCTCATGGCTCATGGAATTTTCCTGCTGCAAAATAGCTGCCACACTTGTGTGGCAGCGTTTGTGACAGGCAAAATAGCTGCCTGTCACTACACTTGATAAATATCAATCTTTCTTTATCCTTCAATACCTTTACAGCTTGAGGGTTTCGATAGTAAAAGTGCACTTTGTATTCATCCATCCACACCTCAGCTGCTCGTACAGTATTTTGGACGAAATTTGGGCGAGCGTACGGAGCACGTTTTGGAAATACATGGCCCACATGTGAGCAGGGGTGAATCTCCAGCGTGCCACCACACTGCCATACCTGTTGAAATATTTGTCAAAAAATGTGAACATGTGAATTTCAAGTGACATAGTATCGACCTCCTTCTCCACAAACACACCCACACACCACACACAGCTGCAAAGCACAACCAAACAGCAGACACTTACCCTAAAAGACAGTTCCAGATTCTCGCCTCCCCACACCTCCATGCCAGTGTCATAGGTGCCCAGATATTCAAAATATTTCCTACTAACAGCAAACAATCCTCCTGCCATGGTGGGTGATCTGAGAGATATGGTACTTATTTGAATTAGCGTTAAAAAAAAGATCAAAAGAAATTGCTGCTTTCACTTAAACATTTTAAATAAAGGCTCATATCAAACAGAATTAATTTCATGCAGCTCTGTGTAGATGATACCAATCACAATTTACTACCTGATTGGGTCTATTCTCGACTTCCTTCTCTGCCTTTCGTGTTCAGGCACACTGTGCCACTGGAAGGTGAGACGCCAGTCAAATCCCCCTATCATCGGTTCTCCAGTCTGCATGTAGTACTCAAACGTGTTCCAATCGATAGTGTCAATGACTGGGCAAACAATGGCAGTCTCATTCTCCCCAATTCTAAAAATAACATGAGTAAGAAAGGCATGAATATAACAACTTGCATTTATACAGTGCCCTTCATACAGTATAACATCTTGGAGCACTGATCTAATAAAATCAGGTCAAGTTAAATATCTTCTGTTAGTCATTTTTTAAAGTGTTTCAGCCTTTTCAATTCAACTACAACAACTTGCATTTATATAGCACCCCTCACACAGAGTAGCAGCCCAGAGGGCTAAATCATCAGTGAATTCATATTGATTTCTTAAGGTTTGACCTGTAGCTCTAATCAAATTAATTTTCTTAAAATAGCACCAAAGTAATTTAGAACAAAAAGGGTACACAGATGCACTCTCGGTATACTCGAGAAGAATGTCAGTGTCATAAAAGTTTGACATTGCATCATTTTGCATGTTCACTTTTATATCTGGCTTTGCAAATTCATCAATAAAGACATAAAAAGGCATATTTAACATTTTTATGTTAATGTAAGCAATTATAGGACTGGCTACATCATTATTTTGGATACTAGCTAGTCGCTAGGATCGGTGTTCAAATGTAGCCCAGAATGAGGAGGTAAAATCCTTCTGTGGTTTGCTGGCTATGTGAAATGTGTTTCAGCATTCTCAGTCCAATTCCTGAGGAGCAAGTACTCAACAGAAATTTGCCCTTGAAAAAAAACCAATTGAAACTGGTTTGCATGTTCAAAAATATTGATATCTATATTATAAAGGGGGCTATTTACTGATCAGATTTGTGTGTTTTCACCAGCATTCAGAAAGTATTCTTCCCAGCCTTGCCTGGTTACCCAAGAGCAGTGCACTCATGCAATGCAATTTATGTTGACCTTGAATTGCCTTCCTGTTTCTTCTGATTGAAGGGAATCATTTCCAGCCAGAATAAATAGAACAGGGCCTACAAGTCCATAATAAGCATGAGCCAAATGTGTTCACTGCAGGTATTGTATTAGCTGCAGTCAACAAAAAAAAGCAAGACTTCCTCATGGAACATGAAGTACACTGAGGTTAGTGCATTGGGCATAATCTTTCTTTAGGGTTGTCTCTTTAAGTGTCAGCAGTCACATTCCTGAAATAATAATAATCCTTGTATTTGATATCGCACCTTATCACGTCTTCGAGATGTCTCAAAGCGCTTCACAGAATATACTGTAAAGTGAACTGACTACATATTTTGTGGGCATATATTTTTAGATGTTACATTTCTAGGCTTATGCAGTCCCACCATTTTGGGTCTCATCAGCTAATCTGGTGACATCAGCTAAGGCGTTGGGGCGAAGCCACACATGAGTAAACTTGTCTGTGATGTCTAAGAGTTTAAAAAAAATAAAAATCATTTTCATCTAATGGGACGGAGGGAATGAAGGATAAACCACAGACCTAAATCACAAGAGTAGAGAGCACGGGCAAGAGAATAGGGCTGACCCCCTTTCAGGATTAGGGAGGATAAGATCATGAATGGATTTGGATCTTGCTGCTGATCAGCTGGAGAACTGGAAATTAGTGGAACCATGCTAAGGATGGGTTAATAGGATTATAGAGCCTGGTGAGGATGGGGGTAATGGGGCTATGAAACCTGGTGAGAACAGAAGAATAGGTGTACAGAGCTTGGTGAGAAATGGGGGCAATATGCAGCTTGTGAGGATCGTTGTAATTAATGTATTGAACTTCACAAGGATGGAAGTAATGGGGTAATGAGTGTCAGGAACCACGTGAGGCCGGGAGGATGGAGGGTATAATGAGTCTTGTGCAGGACAGAACATAATCTTACCTCTCCAACAGTGGCTCCAACCAGCCAGGGACACACTCACAGTGGCAATCCAGAAATGTAAGCACATCTCCAGTGGCAAAAGTAGCACCAATCAAACGGGCACGTACCAATCCTTCCCTCTTATTTGTTCGAATCAGACGCACTCTCTGAAGGTTGCTGATGTACGCTTCCAGTTGTGCCTTCAGGTAAACTACAACATTGAGTAATGGAGGCAATTACAAAACATGCATGCAAATAATGTAACAATAAAAATCTGTCTGTTAGACATAAAGTAAAATCTTGACAAAAACAAGGAAGCAGATGTAAAAAAAAGTGCACCCGATATTACTGACCCCCCCCGACACCCTCCCCCCACCCGACACCGCCCCTCCCCCCTGACACCCTCCCCCCACCCGACACCCCCCCTCCCCCTGATACCCTGCCCCCCCAGCCACCCTCCCTGCCCTCCCGTCACCCTGCCCCCCAGTCACCCTGCCCACCCCAGTCACCCTGCCCACCCCAGTCACCCTGCCCACCCCAGTCACCCTGCCCCCCCCCAACACCCTTCCCCAGCATCCTGCCCCCCAGTCACCCTCCCTGCCCCAGTCACCTTGCCCACCCAGTCACCTTGCCCTCCCCCCCAGTCGCCCTCCCACCCAGTCACCCTGCCCCCCAGTCACCCTGCCCCCCAGTCACCCTGCCCCCCAGTCACCCTGCCCCCCAGTCACCCTGCCCCCCAGTCACCCTGCCCCCCAGTCACCCTGCACCCCCCCCAGTCACCCTGCCCCCAGTCACCTTGCCCACCCCAGTCACCTTGCCCCCCAGTCACCCTGCCCCCCAGTCACCCTGCCCCCCAGTCACCCTGCCCCCCCCACCGTCACCTTGCCCCCCAGTCACCCTGCCCCCAGTCACCCTGCCCACCAGTCACCCTGCCCCCAGTCACCTTGCCCTCCCCCCAGTCACCCTGCCCCCCAGTCACCTTGCCTCCCCCCCAGTCACCCTGCCCCCCAGTCACCCTCCCCCCCAGTCACCCTGCCCCCCAGTCACCCTCCCCCCAGTCACCCTGCCCCCAGTCACCTTGCCCTCCCCCCAGTCACCCTCCCCCCAGTCACCCTCCCCCCAGTCACCCTGCCCACCCCAGTCACCCTGCCCACCCAGTCACCTTGCCCTCCCCCCAGTCACCTTGCCCCCAGTCACCCTGCCCCCAGTCACCCTGCCCACCCCAGTCACCCTGCCACCCCAGTCACCCTGCCCCCCAGTCACCCTGCCCCCCAGTCACCCTGCCCCCAGTCACCCTGCCCCCAGTCACCCTGCCCCCCAGTCACCCTGCCCCCAGTCACCCTGCCCCCCAGTCACCCTGCCCCCCAGTCACCTTGCCCCCCAGTCACCCTGCCCCCCAGCCACCCTGCCCCCAGTCACCTTGCCCCCCAGTCACCCTGCCCACCCAGTCACCCTGCCCCCAGTCACCCTGCCCACCCCAGTCACCCTGCCCACCCCAGTCACCCTGCCCCAGTCACCCTGCCCCAGTCACCCTGCCCCCCAGTCACCTTGCCCCCCAGTCACCTGCCCCCCAGTCACCTTGCCCTCCCCCCAGTCACCCTCCCCCCAGTCACCCTGCCCCCCAGTCACCCCCCCCCAGTCACCCTCCCCCCCAGTCACCCTGCCCCCAGTCACCCTGCCCCCAGTCACCCTGCCCCCCAGTCACCCTGCCCCCCAGTCACCCTGCCCCCAGTCACCCTGCCCCCCAGTCACCCTCCCCCCCCAGTCACCCTGCCCCCCAGTCACCCTCCCCCCCAGTCACCCTGCCCCCAGTCACCCTCCCCCCCCAGTCACCCTGCCCCCCAGTCACCCTGCCCCCCAGTCACCCTGCCCCAGTCACCCTGCCCACCCCAGTCACCCTGCCCCCCAGTCACCCTGCCCCCCAGTCACCTTGCCCCCCAGTCACCCTGCCCCCCAGTCACCCTGCCCCCCAGTCACCTTGCCCTCCCCCCAGTCACCCTCCCCCCCAGTCACCCTGCCCCCCAGTCACCCTCCCCCCAGTCACCCCCCCCCCAGTCACCCTGCCCCCCAGTCACCCTGCCCCCCAGTCACCCTGCCCCCCAGTCACCCTGCCCCCAGTCACCCTGCCCCCCAGTCACCCTGCCCCCCAGTCACCCTCCCCCCAGTCACCCTGCCCCCCAGTCACCCTCCCCCCCAGTCACCCTGCCCCCCAGTCACCCTCCCCCCCCAGTCACCCTGCCCCCAGTCACCCTGCCCCCCAGTCACCCTGCCCCCCAGTCACCCTGCCCCCCAGTCACCCTGCCCACCCCAGTCACCCTGCCCCAGTCACCCTGCCCCAGTCACCCTGCCCCCCAGTCACCCTGCCCCCCAGTCACCCTGCCCCCAGATGTGCAGCAGCTGCTTGTCAATGCGGACCCTCACCAGGCAACTTCTGTTGACTTACTGTCAGCTCTCACTCTGCTGCTGAGACTTACAGCCCCGCACAATGTGGGCCACACTTTGCACGGACACCCCCAGCCCCAACACCCAATACCCAACACCCGCACTGGGAGCTCACACACTGGGTCTGTGTGAGAAAGAGAGACTGTGTCTGTGTGTGTGTGACTGTGTGTGTGAGAGAGACTGTGTCTTTGTGTGTGTGACTGTGTCTGGGAGACTATGTTTGTGTGTGAGAGACTGTGTTTGTATGTGTGTGTGTGAGAGAGAGAAACTGTGTGTGAGAGAGACTGTCTGTGTATGTATCTGTGAGAGACTGTGTTTGTGTGTGTATCTGTGTGTGTGAGAGAGACTGTGTCTGCGTGTGTCTGTGTGTGTGAGAGAGACTGTCTGTGCCTGTGTGTGAGAGACTGTGTCTGTGTGTGTGTCTGTGTGTATGAGAGACTGTGCTTGTGTGTGTATCTGTGTGTGTGAGAGAGAGAGACTGTGTCTGTGTGTGTGTCTGTGTGTATGAGAGACTGTGCTTGTGTGTGTATCTGTGTGTGTGTGAGAGACTGTGTCTGTGTGTGTGTCTGTGTGTATGAGAGACTGTGCTTGTGTGTGTATCTGTGTGTGTGTGAGAGACTGTGTCTGTGTGTGTGTCTGTGTGTATGAGAGACTGTGCTTGTGTGTGTATCTGTGTGTGTGAGAGAGAGAGACTGTGTCTGTGTGTGTGAGAGAGAGAGACTGTGTGCGTGTGTGTGAGAGAGACTGTGTCTGTGTGTGTGTCTGTGTGTGTGTGAGAGAGACTGTCCGTGCGTGTGTGAGAGAAACTGTGTTGGTGTGTGTGAGAAATAGACTGTGAGAGACTGTGTGTGTGTGAGAGAAACTGTCGGTGTGTGTGAGAGATAGACTGTGAGAGACTGTTTGTGTGTGTGAGCGAGACTGCCTGTGTCCGTATCTGTGTGAGAGAGAGAGACTGTGTGTGTGTGAGACTGTGTCTGTGCGTGTGTGTGAGAGAGACTGTGTCGGTGTGTGTGAGAGATAGACTGTGTGAGAGACTGTGTTTGTGTGTGAGAGAGAGAGAGACTGTGTCTGTGTCTGTGTGAGAGAGAGACTGTGTGTGTGTGAGACTGTGTCTGTGCGTGTGTGTGAGAGAGACTGTGTCGGTGTGTGTGAGAGATAGACTGTGTGAGAGACTGTGTTTGTGTGTGTGAGAGAGACTGCCTGTGTGCGTATCTGTGTGAGAGAGAGACTGTGTGTGTGTATCTGTGTGTGTGTGAGAGAGACTGTGTCGGTGTGTGTATCTGTGTCTGTGTGTGTGAGAGAGAGAGAGACTGTGTCTGTGTCTGTGTGTGAGAGAGAGCAGGAGGCGCAGTTGGTTGGGTGTTGACAGTTACATGCTAACAATGTGAAAGGCATTTTTCTCTGGTAAAGTGCAGCAGACTGAGGAGAACAGCGGGGGGTGAGGCGGAAGAAACTGCAACGGAATAAAGAAGTTAGTTTTTCAGTAAAACCTGGGGGTCTTGAATGACTATCAGAGGCTGACGAGAATGTGACTGACTAACTAGTGAAGTGAGTCCAGACACCCCAGGGTGTGTAACAGCAGACTTGTCAAAGCATTCCACTCTTTATCTGGGGTGTGTTACTCCTGATTGAAGTTTGTTCAGTTTAAAGTGATTCGAAGATGGTATATTGTCATTTCCACCGTCTTCTCATTTGGTTCCTGAAACCAATTACTGCTGTAGGAAATTACAGAAGCCCATTTGACCCACCACCCAGCTCCTTTCAAATATTCACATACATTATATAATATCTTGGACTTCACTCACCCACTCTTAAACAAAATACAGTATAACAACCGGCTCTGTTGTTGTTCTGCAGGTTCCCCTGCATAATTTAGATTTATAATTTAATCCCACAATCATCCTTTGCTGCTTTTCTCTGAACCATTTGCGATGCTTTAACATTCTTTTGAGGGCAAGATGCCTCAAACTGCACACAATTATTCCCAAAGTGGCCTCACCAGTGGCAATACAGGTATTTAAATATGTTTTTCCCTTTCTCAGAAGCCCGCAAGAATTGTGTCAGCAGTGACTTGAGCACTGTTTCACGGGAACATTTAACAAGTGTTACAAAGATAGTCCTGCAAGACATTGTTCACGTCACTGTACAACTGGAACATCAAAGAGGAGGAAAGAACACGATATGTGACAAATCTGATAGATCTGTAGTGAGGAATGACTTAAAGGATCGAAAAAGCAGCATTTTGCAACAAGATTCATTAATAGTGAGAATTAATATCAGAATTGATAATGGGGAATCCTACCTCAGCACCTTGGGATGTCCTCCGACGTGAAAGGCGCTCTATAAATGTAATCTTGTTGTTGTTGTATGTCCTAAAAGAAATCTATCTAATTTGCTTTTGAAAGAATCAACACGTTCTACTTCCACTGTCTCCCTTGGGAGCTTGTTCCATACATAAGATAAAATTAAAGAAGGTTTTTTTTCTAGGCACACTCTTAATCCTTATAGAGCCAGGCAAACTACATTTAGGGCTCGCTCATCCTCCTGGGTTGCCAATAATAATTCATTAGTTTATGCTGCGGTTATGAATTTGTTTGTTTAATTGATGGACTGCGGCTGAAATTTACACCAGTCATTTTGTGTCACCTCGTCAAAGGTGAGCAATGTTTGGCCTTCAACTAAGGTAAGTAAGAAACAATATGAATCCTCCTCCCTTTTTGCCATTGCTTTAACCCATCAGTTCATTATCTGCCTCCTCCTGCCCAACCCAACTTTACATTTTGCATGAGCGCATACTTCTCATTCTTGTATGTTGCTTAAGAGCCACAATTTTATATTCTGTGCATTTTTGCATCAAATTGCTGCTCTGTAATGCAGTATAAATCTGGGTTTGGGAGCACAATTCAACCAAGAGCATTCCACAAGAGCCTTGCTGCAATGGGGAGGAGGTTTCAGCATTACTGTGAGTCACACCACAGCAATAAAAATGCAACTGTGATAACCAAGTCTGGTTTTACTCTCCAAAGACTCTTTGAAAGCTCTTATTGGCCCATAGTTCTGATTTTACAAGAACAGCTCTTTAATAGCAATAAAGCAAAACAGTCCCCGACCAATACAAGAGAGAGCGGGAGATATAAATCAGACTTCGTACTCCACATCATTGTATTGAAGGAAGCCTTTACACTTTGCTTCCAACAGTATAAACAAGGCATTTGTTTCCTAAAGTAGCAGCTGAGATTTTGCTCTTGTCTAGAGCTACTTTCAAAAATTAATCACAGCTTGCGATTAGCATCTGAGAACAAAAACTCTGCTGATTTTGTTTTGGCCAGTGGACAACTTGTATCAGAGAAATCAAGTACTGAGCCAAGAGGAGGAAGGGAAATCAAAGAGAAGGAGAGGAGACCAACCGCCTCCTTGAGCCCTCCTCTCTAAGGCCACTTCCTCGTTTTAACACAAATACATCTGATTACTTGGTGTTTGTCCTGAACTTCACAAATAGGATGGAGAAACTCCACTGCTTGTACAGGAACTTGTAACCATGAAGAACTATTTTGACATACATCTTATTCTCCACAAGCTTAGCCTGCTTTGGGATTTTACCATTATTGAAGAGAGAAGAGAATGACCAGAGTGCTTTTCGTCCCTTCTCAATATGGTCCTAAAGGACAATGTCCCTCTTGAGTTGTGATGGACACCATTAGCTGACAAAAACAAAACATGAACAACAAAAATGAAATTTGAGTTGTCGATTGAGCCCCCAACTGTACCTATGATTGTGTTTCAATTTCTGTTTTACATAATTTCTATTTAATTTGAATCATTTTGCATTTGTAATATTCAGTTATAAGTTTCCTTACTCCACACAGAGCCTAATAATAATCCCTCCAAAAACAAAAACAATAATAAATTGTTCATTTTCAATCTACGACTGTTTGTGGGACATTGCTGTGCGCAATTGGCTGCCGCTTTCGCCCACAAATATACTGTCAATTCACTTTACAGTGTGTTCTGTGAAGCGCTTTGGGACGTCCTCCCGACGTGAAAAGCGCTATATCAAATGCAAGGATTATTATTATATTATATATTATTGTATATGTGTGTTTTCTTTGATTGTCACTAAATTTGCCTATGTCTAGATTTTATCTTTCCATGGTTGATACTAAATAATTTTTTTACATTTCAGATTCATGTATTTCTTGACAGTGCTAATTGATAGGACAAGAAGGTAAGATAAAACATAGCTTTTGCAATGAGATGAGACAGACTCTTGCGAGATATAGCACACCATCAATGGGGGTTTGTTTTACATGTTAAAATCTTGTCTTTGTTACTGAAATATAATTCCAATAACTTTATTTCCTCATTTATTTAAAATATTGATGCAACCAACAATTTAAAACGTGTTGTCTGTTGTGAATTAAGGTCGGTCAAATCCTCAGCTATTCTCCCACGCTACAGTAATTTGCCAAAGGTATTCATGTGAACAGACTCTGGGAGGGCAAAACATTTTCTTTTCATAGAATCTTACAGCGCTATATTAAATGCAAGGATTATTATTATTACTATTATTTTTAATAGTAATAATAATTAATAATAATTTAATAATATTAAATTTTTAACTCTCTGTGAGGGGTCATAAGTCTGAAATTGTTAGTCATCTACCCTCATCTAAGAGTGAATCTGTGCATCCATATTCTAGATTTTTGACCATATGAAATACATTATTAGATTCCATTAGGCTCCAGTTCATCGCTACACTTTAGAATTATGAATGTTTCAATACGGTCTCCCCTGAAAACCTATTGAAACGGTCTCCTTGTAAATCAGGTACCTAAATTCCAACAATTGTACAGGTGGCTAATTCTAGCAATTATATGGGCCTCTAATTTTTTATTCTGTATCTCATTGGCACAAATTTGGGTTTATAATTCTGCAGAATTGTTTTTTTAATTCCTAATTTGCTTTTTAAAAAATGCTTAATATTATTTAATTTCACAGGTGTGGCCTTGCTTTCTAATCATCAGAATGGAACTATATAACATTGCTGCCTTTGGGACTCAGCTGAAGAATGAGAGGGTTTTGATTGACAGAAGTTCTTTTCGGATTTCCCCACGAAATTTCCAAGATATAATTATTTTCTAATGGGGCCAAGTACTCATAAAACAGGTTCTGGTTGTGCAATTTAAAAGTTTTGATCTTACTTTTGTCCATGGAAAAGGGAACAATCTGACAATAAGGTGTGGCTTCTTCTGAAATTATATCTAGAGATTATAGGATCACTCTGTGTAAGTTTGTGTCCATGAATAAAACATCTCCCCATTAAGTTGTAAATTCTCTTCTTGCACACCCATATACAGGGTAACCAAAATGTTGTGATACATTACAATGTCTAATAAGTCGTAAAGAAATTATGATTTTTTTTGTTAGATAATTGGATAGCTGAAAAATAAGACTTTTTGATCACCCTGTATATATAATAATAATCCTTGCATTTGATATAGTGCTTTATCACATCTTCCAGATGTCTCAAAGCGCTTCACAGAATATGCTGTAAAGTGAATTGACTGTATATTTTGTGGGTGAAACGCGGCAGCCAATTGTGTCCCACAAACAGTCGTGGATTGAAGTGACCAAATTATTATTATTTTTTTTTTGAAGGATTATTACCCCCGGAAAAATCTATCACCCAATCGACCGGTTCCTACTTACTGCTAGGTAAATATATATATTTATATATAGATATATAATACAACACAAAATTACATTATGTTGGGAGAGGGTCTCAAGGTGCTGGGTTATGTTATTTTTGTTAACCACTTTCAGTAAGTCTCAAGATCGTACCTTGGACAATAGAGATAATAAAGTTCCAGGATAATAAAAAAACTGTCTGTCAATCATTGTTTTTACTGTTCAAATTGGTTATTAGCTGATGGTTACTTTATCCACTTCAGATAATGTTTTCTTGCTGAGGTGGTATTTTGCCTGGAATAGAATTTTGCTTCTTATATCATGGAAAACGACTTGTT